TTCAGTTCATCTCTTCCTTGTTTTGAAGGCAGGGGGTGTACTCTACTTTTATTTTCTAGCTGCTGAATATCGTTTTCTAGAAAGTCTTTGCACCAGTATCTGTCGAAGATCCAAGACCAAGCCACAAGCATCTAAGCCCTGCACTTTAACCTGGAAAATCATTCTAGGCTGGGGAGAACTAACCCTTTGCTGCTGGGGGAAGGGACAAGGGACCTGAGCTGTGAGTCTCCAGGTGAGAGAGAATAGGAGGGCAGCTTGTCTTTGTGTGCAAGGCTGTACTTCCTGCTTCTGCTTCCTGCTTCAGTGCAGCAGATGTTTTGTCAGTGAGCTCTGCAACTCACTGTCAGGATGACCTGAAGGAATTGTCAGGAAGGACTGCAAATGAATGTGAGGGATTAGATTCTTTTTAAAAAGTGAAATCTGTGCCCCAATCAGTGGAGGCTTGGCTGTGGCAAGATTGCCATGTTGAGTTGCAGTGACTACAGTCTTATCACCTGATTTGGTTTTTTTGCTCATAACAGCTTGATGCTTTTTGCTGTTTGTGGATGTCAAACATCTGACTTGTTTCAAGTCCAGTAATGGACTGAAAATAATGCTGCTATTAATGCCTTATATCATGTTTTGAGTTAACTATAAATTAACTTTGAATTAACTATTTCATGTATTTCACTCTGTTCTACCTCTGAAATGCTGCTTTGCATTGCAGGCATTTTAAATAGGTGTGAATATTACCAGGCAACACCTAAGGTTTCTGTGACTTTTTCTTCCCAGTCCCCAGAAGCTGCTGTGTAAGGGTGGTGCTGCTATTCTCACTTTACAGATAAAAAAATCACTCCCTGACCCACTTAGCGAAGCTTTAAAGTTAAAGTCTTGGAGAAACACTATTCCTGCAGCTGTTGTGAATCCTGGGGGCAGGGCAGAAGGGGAGTAGCTAAAATCAACCACATACCAACCCCCGGTGGAACCAGTAACCTGGGATCTGAGCATTACCTGTTCTCCAGTGTGCACTGCCCTGTTGGACACTGGTTTTAACTTAGGGGGGATGCAGGAGGACAGGGAGGGAGTGCTGGGGGAACAAAGGCAGAAAGGAGCTGTTCCAGCCGAGCCAGCACCTCTTCTGCCTTGAGCCTCGAATCCAGCACACTGCTGTCTGTATGTCACACAGAGATGAACACAACAAAAGCAAGACAAACTTGGGAGGTATAAATTCAGTTGGTGCTGTTAAGATAAATTTATTTTCTTCAGCTTTCTTCACAGGAAACATCACGAAAGTGCTTTACAGAGTTTCATACCATTACTCTAACATGGGACAAAAGGACAACAACAGGTGTGTGCACTGCACAGTTAGAAGTTGTCATATGCAGAAGCCATGATAGGTAAACCAGGGTAAAAAAAATCTACTGACAAAAAATAGATATATATAGTTCAGGTTTTGAACTTAATTTATGACTATAAACTTAATCGTATAAATATACAGGCACCATTAGGTTCCTGTGTTAACTGTGGGGTCCGCACAGGGCTTCTCAGAAAGATCATATTGTACTCGGCTGAAACAGTTTCTGCTGTGCTCCATGGGCTCCCAGCCAAACCATTTTCCCAGCCAGGCAGTATCATTCTTTTGCACTACAATAAGCACTCAAATGGCTTTATCTTCATTTCTTCTTGTGAAGTCTGGTGGTGAGACATTCTGGTACATTGCTGAAAGCAAATTCAGTTCTTTTTTTTTTTTTTTTTCCCCACTTACAGATGTCCTATTACTATACTTCCCTCAGTCATCTCATCATTAAAAAAAAAATTAAAATGCTTTAGGCTAGACCGTGCTGTCCAGGTAAGACAGTTTTGTTTAAGCTAGCACGTTACCAGTCATGCAACCCTACTCCTTTCCACAGCTGAGCTGTGCTGTACTGTGAGCAGTGCTACTGCCTTCATTTTGCTGTATTCAGTGGGAATGGGGCTCCCATGTAGCCTCTGAGGCTCTAGGTTTCAATTCTTCAAGGAGATTGCGTTTACTTGCTAGGCAATTTTGCAATGTTTGTGATACTACAACCCTGACAGAAGAAATGCAGCAGGATAGAGACACAGGAGTTCTTGCCTGCTGCTTTCTAAATAAGTGGTGAATAATTCAGGCACCTAAGAAATCCTTGGCATGGTAATAATGTAGATGAACAGAAGGAGGGAATACCCTAGGGTGAAGAGAGGTCAAATCAGATTTTTGATGGGTTTTGAGTTGCAGGGAAAAAATGAGCAGAACCAATTACCTAGAAAACACTGTTGTGCCAGTCTGCCTTTTACCTCATTCCCAGAATAAAGACACAGTGCATGGTCGAAGAATTTGTCAGTCCTGAAGGTTACTGGGTGGTTAGTAATTAACACAATACGGAATTACAGTGGCAAGACGGGCCTTTGGTGAGTGTAGCAGCAGAGATGAGTCTCTTAGAGGTGTGGGAGAGGGTACAAAGTACTACATTCTAACAACTATCAGATTCATCAGCTCTATTTTCCCCCCGCACTTCCTCAAAAAATAAAAAAACCCTCAGCACCTATTTGCCAACTTAATAAACCCCCAGCAGCCACAGCTGGTTTTTGACAGAATACTAGTAACTGCTGTAATAGAACACCTACAAACACAGTTATTTGGATGCAAAATCCAAGGTACATTCTCCTCAACCAGTACTGAAAAGCAGCTGTTCTCTAGGATATGGTTCTCTGATATTGAGACACTGGCAGGCTATGCACATAAACAGGCTTGAGTCTGCCCTGACAACACCTCCTTTGTATCTATAAATGTAACATGACTGGTAAATGCAGTCAGTGCTTAGAGATTGAACACTACTTACAGCTGCATGTTCTCTAAAGCACAAGGTGAGAATAAAGATGTGAAACAAACCACAACGACTAAGCCTGCCCTCCAGTGTTGCTTCATCTCAAATATTGTAACCTAGTTTCAATGTCCAGTTGAATACTACAGCAGGTATATTAGATTAAGAATGGCTGAGCCCAGCTGGTTGCTGGCCAGAGCCCAAGTAATACATCTGCTTCATCTCTGCCACAAGGAGGAGAATAGCCCAGAAATTAAAAACAAGTTTGCTACGGGCCTTGTTCCCTTGCACTTGATAGCTATTCAACCTAGACTTCAAGTGACATGATCTCAAATAAAGGTTTAATGAAACCGACTTCATGACAAATAACTCCATTGAAGTTAAGCTCTGGGAGACCAGATTTGTATATGTTTTACCTCTTTCTCAATACATTTTTTTCTCTTGTATCAGCCTGTTTTTATGATTTGAATAATTTTGCTATGGTTGTACATACTCTGAAAGAGATACAGAATAAGTGATTTGTTTTAATTTAAAAAAGGAAGCTTATGACAACATCTTAACTAACAGTTTTCTGTAGACAAGTCATTTGAAATAAAGCAAACTGTTACAACTCAATGACTTCATTGCTGTAACTGAGCTAGAAAGAAAATTCAATACAGAAGACAGGAGATAGGAAAAGCAACAGAAAAGGTCAGATTGAGTAAAAATTAGTAAGAGCTCGCCATGCTAATCACTGGCGAGAAGTGATTATGTACACAAAACTGAAGATTTCAGTACATCAGATGGCAAAAGCCAATCCCCATAGAAGTTATTAGGTTGATGGTGATTGCCAGGATACTCTAACTAACTCTGTAAACTTGGCAATTAAGGGGCAAGTGAATGTCAACAGAACATAAACCCAAGGCAATGAATACTGGAAAGGTTTAAAACCACTCATACATGCTCTGGTGGACTCTGAGTTAGCTGTGATCTTTCAGGGGGACGATCTAGGCATCACCATGGACAGCTTGATGAAGACATCTGCTCAATGTGTAGTTGCAGTCAAGAAAGCGAGTAAGATGTTAGGCTGTATTAAAAACAGAACAATATGGAAAAATATTACAGCATCTATTTGTCTTAGAGGTCCTCAATGAATATTTGCTCTTTCATCAGGAACTTAAAAAAAAAGTGGCATATTAGAAAAATACAGGGAGTAAAAAGGTGAGAGAATGGTAGAAGCAGCTCTTTGTAGCTGGGAAGACAGTAAGACCAAGGTAGTTTATTTAAGAAGGGAATAGATGATAAACATCTTAAAAGTAATTCTCCTTCCCACTGTATAACAAGATATCACCTCAAAGTCATTTTAAGCTGCCTACCAATATGTTGACCTGAATATAATGCGTTACCACCATAATTATTCAAAAAAGCCCCTGTGTTATTCTTCAGTGCTTATTATTCAGCTAGTTACGCATTTCCTCTGAAGCAACTGCTATAGTTTGTTGAAATTTGACAGTAATAAATTCTGACAGAGAATTGTCACAGCTGATGCACATTAACAACTGACTTAGAGGTACTGCAAAGATAAAAATATCAGTAGGAGAAGAGAGCTGCTGGGCCTCATCTCTGTCCCGGACCCACCAGAGCTCTAATTTTTCTGCATGCAGGCCACCATCGTGTTCTCTGCTTCTATTTGAGGGCCCACTGTAAAAGCTGAGCAATGAACCTTGAAATCACCAGCAACAGCAGACAAGGGCACATTCATAAGTTACTTCATGTTCCTTCAGCTGCAGTTAACTGATAAACCAGGAGATAATAGTAAATAGGGTAATCTCCTCTTCTTTATCTGTATTCCTTCCTCTCTTACCTGTCCCTCTGCTTACCCCTCTCAGCTCTCTTTTCTGATCATTTCTTTCCTTTATCTGTTTCACAGAAACCCTCCATGGGCAAGTATTTCCCTTTGGTTCATTCCCTTCACCTTCTTCCTCCACTGTCTGCCTTACTACCAGATTTTACAAGTTTTGAAGTTTATTCTCTCTCCTATATTTCCATTGTACCTGCATGCCACTTCAACTTAGATATGTGAAAGAATAAAGAGCAGGACATGGGAAGGGGAAGAAAACTACATTTCTATGACAAAATACCACTTAGGAATGAACATCTCTGATTCACATGATTTGAACAAACTTTAAAACAGCCACATTATAAGAGATGGCTATCAACTGTGAGCAGGATTTTATTTCAGTCATGGAGTTTACAAAATATAGCAATATTGACTTCAGTATGTTCCACATAAAAACAAAGAGCCTCATATTAATATGCCATTTGGGTTGCACAGATAATTGAAGAGATGAAATACCAGACAGAGTACTCAGCCTGAACTGTCCCCTTACCCATACATACTAAAATAAGTCTAATTACATTATATTTAAATAGGATGTATATTACATTCTATAGAAATAAGCCTTTGCCAAAGAAGTATTAAAATACTATAATGAAAGCTAATATAAAGATCTTTTAATAAAGATTTTTAGTCCTCCGTAGAACCTTTCATCAGCCCCAGCCCTTGACAAACAGCTTTGGCCTCACAACACCCCTGTGAGGTAGGTTGTTGGGTTTTTTTGGTACAGCTGGGGAAACTGAGGCAAGGTGAAAAATTACTTGAACATAGCAGCTCAGTAGAAAAACAAGGCCAAATCCCACTCTCTTGGTCCCAGGTTTCCCATGCTCTTCCTACAAAACAGCTTGTTTCTCTTCAGTGCACACAGTTGTTTTAGATGATACTTTCCATTCCAATATTCCAGACGAGCTACTTTTTCTTGTGATTCATTAATACTGTGATACATTTTTAATATTTGCATTCTGGCTAAGAAGAACTTTACTGAACACTGAACTTCATTAACCTTGCTGTATAAACATATATTCTAAGCAACTGAACATAAACCCGTGATATACGTACCATTTAGAAGATGCTGTTTGAAACAATATCTCAGCTTTTTATCATGCAGAAGTGAAAACTAATTTTCTTAAATACACAAGTTATTTCCTAATAAGATTGTTGGACTATCTTGGAATTTGTCCTTTCTCGGTTCTCTCTTTAGACAACAGATCAGACAGCTTTGTACCAATGCAAAATTCTACCTTCTCTCTGGACAGCTTTTCCCAGTTCTTTTCTTTGAAAGGAAGAAATAAAACAGGATGCCTTCCCCAAGTACTGAAATTTAAACATTTTTGCTGATTTAAAGTCAGATGGATCTGTCACTTGTGAAATCAGTGCCTACCCACACAGCACTTCTCCTATCCAACATCTTACACTCCACTCCCTACCTCAGGTTATACATTTAATACTATCATTTAGAAAACAGCCTTCCTAATCCCTCTCTTCTTATACCGCCTGTGTTTTATTTGCATCATTACTACTCTCCCTAATTTACTAATTTTTTAATCTTCCTTCCTGCTCTATTTCACTTCAAAGACATGGTAGAACTACACTTGGTGCTTCAGAAGCCAAACTTTAGATACGTGATAGTTATGACTTAGACCCCTCAGTTCTGTTTTCTGCTGTCATTTCTTCTTCCATCTGCTAGAGCTTATAGGCTCTCATATTAGCCTCAATACAGACAAGCTGTCTCTTTAACTTTTTCTGAAGACATCTGCAAGTATATGTCAGATTTCCTCTCCTTTGTACACATCTAATTCACATATCTTAAGTTTAAATAAGCATGTTATTATTTTCTTATACTCTCAAATAAAACCCTCTATTTACCATTAAAACCAATTTGTGATTTAAAAGCTGAAAACAGGGAGAGACAATTTGGGAACTAAGTTATAGTCAGGCAAAAAAGCCTGGATTGTGGTTGTTAATAAAGATTTCGAAGTATTCAAAGTGGTTTTGGTAAAATTTAGTTTCTTGGGCCTCAGAAACAAATTGATCATATGAAATGAGGTATCCATTTCTCTGGCCATGTCAATATTGGAGTAATATTACTACCTTGTAAATAAGCAACCTTTAAAGCATATGAAGCCCTGTTAGTCTAATAATCTGCTCCATTTTAGTTAGGGTATTTGACAGAAAGCCACAAGTAAATTTAAAACTGCTTAACCAGGCAGAAATTAGATTTTCTTATCTAGAAATTAGAAAGACAAGAAGCTACTATTGCAAAATCTCAGATAAGTGAACTCCAAAATGTGCAGCCCAATCAAATTTATATTGTTTACCTGAGCTGAACAGTACAGGTGTCTCAGCCATGGTGTGGTGCATTTCCAAGAGCTGACAGAGGCAGTCAAGCACCAAATCTCCAGTCCCTGGGGTGTCAGGCCTCTAACACAGTTTGTATCCTTACAAATTCACCTATTTGTGAGAGGTGCTGTGGCCATGACTGGTAAAGCTACAAATACAAAACTGAAGTAACAGGAGACAGTTACTTTTGGTTGTCAGTTCCTCTTCATTTGTGAATAAGATTAAACCCGGCACAGCTAAACCAGGACAGGTGAGGTGGGGCAAAACTAATCCTCTCCTACATTTATCATCAGCTCAAGTAAATAGAGATGCCAGATTCCTAGAGCAGGCATTTGGGAAGTCCAACTGTATTAAAATTATCTATTTTTTGGCATTTTAACATCCTTAAATCCAAACTGTATCACTGAGAACCACAAATCCAAATTGTTCCTTTCCCAGTAAGCACTGGACATTTAAATATTTCACTAGCAAGTTGGTAACTTTATGGCTGTACTTTTATTTTAAGCCAGAGGAAGTAAAATGGAACCTTTAAACTGGAAGTTAACAAGTAACCTATAATGAAAGCATGCCACAGGCTAGGGAGTTCCTGAAGCAGCACAGAACTGCATTTTACTGACTGGCATCAAGAATCTCATTTCTACAACTGACAACCCTTCATTTGTGGAATGAGCCTTCAACCAGCATTTTGGAGGAATGAAAAGGGCATTCTTAGCATGCCTCGAATGAATGCAACAACAAACCAGATAAAGTTGGACTTCAGAATCTCAGAAGTGTACCAAGCTTCCACAGAAGACTGACTTTCAAAATTTCAGGCATGCAGAACAATTACTTGGTATAAGGAAGATACTGACAACTGGCATTTTGATAGTTGCTGGCAGCGATAATTAACACAAGGAACACTTCAAAACAGTTTAACATTCTGTACTATGGAAATCTGCTACGTTTCTGTTTTTTTTTCTTTGTTAACTCCAGAAAGAAACTGGAATGATATGTTTGAGAGAAATCTCCAAAATAGTTAGTTATCAGTTTAGTTATCAGTACCTGATGGACTCTAGTGACAGCAACCATCCAGAGGCTGGGTTTTTTTCCCCAGTCTTTAATTTAGCGGAGGTACTTCCAAGTGAAAAGCAAATCAAAGCTTCAGTCATATTCAATTCACAATCTCAGACCAGACCTACATGGTGATGGAGTAAGAAGACACTGTGACAAGTAGCAAACTAAACTTCTATGTATAAATAAAAGTCGTATTAATATGCACTGCTATAAGCTCTGAAACAGAGCCCACCTGACCATAAGGCTGACTGCCCACTCCATGGCCTGTCCCTTAAGAGATCCAAATGCTCTGCCTTTCCTCACCTACTGTATGGTCATGATGTCAAACTAAAACGTAAAGACTCATTAGACTCCAGAATCCATGTATATTTTCATTTTATTTGATTTGAGACTTTTACAGGGTTTTCTTGAACTGCCAGAATTCATGCCCAAAAACCTCAAATAAAGGTGTCCTGGCTGCAGGAAGGGGGCGGAGCTTAGAGCTGGGTGGGCTATTCTGTACCACCCACATCACCATTGGGGGGCATGGCTTTGGGGGGAGAAAAGGTGAGCGCACCCCAAAGCGGCACCATTTTGTTCCCCCTCCTCCTCGGAGAAGTTGTGGTAGTACTGTGGACTCCAGTGACCAGCGCTGAAGACTTTGTCCCTCTGCCACCCGTCCCTTCCCATTCCTTGGTCAATGCAGCCAGGACACAGCTCTGAAAAAAAAGTTGCGGTGAGCTGAGTGGTGTAGTGTGGGAATGGAGTGATGGCGAGCCCAAGCCCAGCCCAGCTGAGCCGAACCAAGGCTGCTGACCACAGCCGAGCCCAGCGGTCCAGAAAAGCAGGTGGCACAACGCGGATGATCCAGCTTTTGGGGGGTTTGTCCGCCACTATTTTTCATTTTCTTGGGGATGGGGAATGCTCGCCACAGTCAACGCCTCACATCCTTTGTCTCAGGAGGGCCATGTGGCACTGGCTAAGGAGAGTGTCAACCACCTTGTCTTTGTCCCAGGAATAACTGTGTGTCACTGCAGGGCCACAGGAATGTCCACCATCTTGTTTTTGTCTCAGTGGCCACATACAATTCAGTTGAGGTGGTGAACACCTTTTGTGTGTAAAGCACCTTCTCTTTTGCATACTTTTGTCATTAATGTTGTTGTTACTGGGTGTTTCTTATTCCATTGCTGTTTGCTTTCAGTAAATTGTTATCTCAACCCACAGTCTCTGCCTTTGTCCCTCTCTCACTGGAGGGAGACAGGGAAGGGGAGGGGTGGAAGTACATTAAACTCAAAGTCATTGGGCAGGAAGCCAAACCTTCAGCTGAGGACTTAGGAGATAAGAAGAGTGGCTTATTTGGAGTTTAATTCCCAGCTAGTATTAAACCACCACATTTAATTGATGCCCAACATAAGGCACAAGAGGGCTGAGATAACAATGGATCTGCCGAAACAATTGGGTTGGAAACAATCTTGATCTAAGCATTTGTGTATTAGGTACAGAACTCCCTGGTTACCGTGTTGCTTGGTCTGTTCATGTGGGTGTGGTACCTAACCCTGCATATACCTCAGGGTATGAACTGTGTGTTCCTTAAAATGTTCTTTTTCAAAGCAGAGAGAGATCAGGATTGCTTTGTTGATGTCCTGTGTGGTATCAGTCTATGGTATTATAACATCAAGGGCAATGGGGGTCATGTGGGGGTAAAACAGTGTTGTTCACCTGTCCTGGTTTTGGCCGCTACCTCTGGGGATTCATTAATTGTACCCAGCCTGTGGGGGGAACAGGGGAGGATGATTTTCCCCAGCCTTTTACCTCCTTTTCCTCCTTCAGGCCTACTACAACAGCTTTTGAGAATTTTGAATTCTCATTTCACTTGGATATTAAAGAAAGCATGTTCTTGTTGCTGTGTCTGCTATGTCTCCTTAATACGTCTACAACACGTTTAGAGTCAGTGTGATCTACACCGTGTTTAGAGTCAGGACAGAAATTTCTAGGATGTTGCCCAGGGACCTGCCATGGGGGTGGATAGTCACGAGTGGCATGGAATGTGGGAGAAAATGGGCCAGCTTTGAAGGAGTATTCTGCTCCAATGGTTTGGAAGTTCACCCCTGAATAACGACAGGACCCTGAAAAGGTGGCAGAATATTTGAAAGAAAAATGCTCTGTCAGTTTCAGAGAGGTGAGAAGTTATGCAAGGTGCTGGGCCCAGGCTACTATTTACCAGGCACTGCTTGTTACTAGACAGCACTCTCAGAGGAAGAGGAGGAAAGCAGACCAGGAAGCACTGTGGCCACTCAAACTGCAGCTGAACCGGAGGAAAAACCTGTGCCAGTGGCAGTCACCCCTTATACAGAAGAAGAAATCCAAGACCAAATCAGTCTGTGTAGTGAGCGATGAAGAGGAAGCAGGACCCCCACAACCAGAGGAAGAGACAGGGCCAGAGATAATCACCCAATCCCCATCCCTGGGTGAGCTGTGAGATAGGCAAAAAGATTACAGTCCGCAGTCAGGTGAGCCCTTGGTGACCTGGCTGCTCCAATGCTGGGATATTGTGGCCAATGGTGTGACACTAAATGGTAATGAAACCAAACAAGTAGGATCCCTTTCCTGAGACGCAGGCATTGACCAAGGGATTGGGAAAAGACCAGAAAATCTCAGCCTCTGCAGGCTCTCTGCATGAGGGAAAAGTATCTTGCAGGTATGATCTTTTAGTGCACCAAGACCTGCAGACCACCACGGAGCAATTAGCAGTGCTGGAGGCAATCTATAAGGATTCAAATGAGCAATCTCCCATAAATCCAAATGACATCCAGTGCACCCAAATCACGTGGCAGGAGTTCCTATGGAGCATGCCATCGTGATATGCCAACTCATTGTCAGTGATGTCATGGACGGAAGGAGAATAAAGAGTGGACAATTTGGTTACCAAACTCCAGCTATATGAAGAAAGTATCTCCTACCCAATATAGGCCTGTGTCTCATCCATGGAAAGACTGTCCAAGGACTTCCAGCAATTTAAAGAGGAAATGTCCCATGTCCTGCCAGTACACACCAGAGTCTCTGTTATTAGGAGCAGGCACCTCCCTGATCGAGAGAGAGGGTATGCATAAGGTAACCTGTGGTTTTACCTGCATGACCACACAGAAGACATGAGGAAGAGGGATGGAAAATCCACCTCTGCTCTAACAGCATGGGTACGTGAGTTGAAAGAAAGAACAACCTCAGAAAGAATAGAAGGGATGATGTTATGTCCAATCTTCTTGAAGTCATATTTACAAGAAGTGAACAATGAGTACCATGACCAGGACTAGAGTGGCCCTACCTCCAGTGGAGAAAAGGGACAATCGAATCTATTGGACTGTGTGGACCCGATGGCCTGGCACATCAGACCCACAAGAATATAAGGCTTTAGTTGACACCAGCACACAATGTACCCTGATGCCATCAAGATATGTAGGGACAGAATCCACCTATATTTCTGGGGTGACGGAGGATCCCAAGATCTGACTGTATTGGAGGTTACAGTGAGCCTGACTGGGAATAAATGGCAAAAACACCCCGTTGTGATGAGAGGCCTTGCGCATCCTTGGCATAGATTACCTCAGGAGAGGGTATTTCAAGGACCCAAAAGGGCTTTTGGGATAGCTGCTATGAAGACAGAGGAAATTAGACAGCTGAATACCTTGCCTGGCCTCTCAGAGAACCCTTCTCCTGTGGGATTGCCGAGGGTTGAAGAACAACAGGTACCGATGCACCACAAGAGTGCATCGTCAGCAGTGTTGCATGAACCGACACCTTGCATGGAAAGACTGAAAGCGGGAACCCTGCCCCTCACATCAGCCGCGGGGACACGCTGACCCCATGCTTATAAGGTGGCTGTACGACTGCGGAGATTCCCCCGAATTCTGGTGAGCCGGGGCTGCACTGCACTAAGGCGGGAAACCCTGCAACACACATACAGCTGGCACGTGCTACGGGCACGCACACACACACACACACTCACTGCCTGGCACATGCTGTGGACACACACACCATGGATGCACATGAGCTGTGCCCCAGCACTGCGACCAGCCTGGCTGGACCCAGGATGCACTGCAGGACCAACATATGCTGCGAGAACTCCACTCATGCTGCAGAGACAAAAGACCAGAGAACGACCTGACGGAGATCTTCTCCCCTCATCAACAAGGATGAGATCCAGTGTTTAGTTCATGATGGTGATAACACTCTTTTCTGTGCTTCTAATAATTATTCTTACCTTTTCCCACTTTTATTTTTCCTTCTTTCTCTCTCTGCCTCTTTGATAGTTTAAATAAAGTTGAATTATTGTTTTGGATACCAACATTTGACCTCGTTTTTATCTTAATCTCACTTTTGGGTATATTCGATCTTAAATTCCTTCCCACATGTATGGACAGAGGCACACTTCACCTCTCTGTATCTAAGGTTGGAACATCCATATTCATAAGATGATTTGTGGAGAGCCAGGGAGTGGTCAGCAAGACTCACTCACCCTTTAAGAGTCCTCTCTGGCCAGTGCTTAAGTCCAATGGAGAGTGGAGACTGACAGTGGACTCTCAAGGCCTGAACGAAGTCACACCACCACTAAGTGCTGCTGTGCTGGACATGCTGGAACTTCAGTTCGAACTGGAGTCCAAAGCAGCAAAGTGGTGCAACCACTGACATTGATAATGTGTTCTTCTCCATTCCTTTGGCAGCAGAATGCAGGCCAAGTTTACCTTCACCTAGAAAAGTGTCCAGTACACTTGGGACCGACTGGCCCAAGGGTGGAAATACAGCCCCGTTATTTGCCACGGACTGATCCACACTGCACCGGAAAAGGGTGAGGCTCCAGAACACTTGCTGTGCTGTACATCAGTGACATCATCATATGGGGGAACATAGCAGGGAAAGTTTTTGAGGAATGGGAGGAGATAATCCAAATCCTCCTGCAGGCTGGTTTTACCATAAAACAAAGTATGGTCAAGGGACCTGCCCAGCAAATTCAGTTTTTAGGAGTAAAATGGCAAGATGGACGTTGCCAGATTCCAATGGACACGGTCAACAAAATAGCAGCTACGTCCCCACTGACCAGCAAGAAGGAAACACAGGCTTTCTTAGAGGCTGTGGGTTTTTGGAAAATGCATATACCACTGTACAATCAGATTGTGAGCCCTCTCTACCTTGTGACACAGAAGAAGAACCATTTCAAGTGGGGTCCTGAAAACCAGTCTTTTGAAGAGATCAAATGAGACTGCTCATACAGTAGCCCTTGGACCAATCAGATCAGGACAGGATGTAAAAACATGTGCTGTACACCGCGGCTGGGGAGAATGGTCCTTCCTGGAGTCTCTGGCAAAAAGTACCCAGGGAGACTTAAGGACAGTCCCTGGAGTTAGGGATACAAAGGATCCCAGGCCTGCTACACCCCAACTGAAAAAGAGATACTGGCAGCTTATGAAGGGGGTTGAGCTGTTTCAGAAGTGCCACAGTTCCTCCTGGCACCCTGACTGCCAGTGCTGGGCATTCAAAAGGAAAGTCCCTTTCACACATCACGCCACTGATGCTATGTGAAGTAAGTAGACTGCGCTGATCACACAGCAAGTTTGAACAGAAAACCCTAATCTCTCAGGAACTTGGAAATCATCACAAACTGGCCTGAAGGTGAAAATTTCAGACTATCATCAGACAAGGAGGAGGAGAAGGCGACACGTGTTGAGGAGGCCCCACCATATAATCAGTTACCTGAAAATGAAAGGCAGCACGTTCTCTTCACTGAGGGTTCCTGCCGCATTGTGGGGACAAACCAAAAAATGAAAAGCAGCCGTATGGAGTCCTATGTGGCAAATTGCAGAAGTCATTGAGGGACACGGTGGATCAAGTCAGATGGCAGAGCTGAAAGCTGTCCAGCTGGCTTTAGGTATCGCTGAATGAGCTATGGCCAACACTCTACCTCTACATTGACCCATGGATGACAGCAAATGCTCTTGGGGGCTGGCTGGATCAATGGAAAAAGACCAACTGGCAGCACAGAGGGAAACTCATCTGGGCTGCTGAATTGTGGCAAGACATTGCTGCTGGGGTAGGGAAGTTGGCTGTAAAAGTACATCATGCAGACGCACACGTACCCAAGAGCCGAGCTACTGAAGAGCATCACAATGGACAGGCGGATCGAGCTGCCAGGATTAAAGTATCTCAGGTAGATCTGAACTGGCAACATAAGGGTGAATTATTTCTGGCTTGGTGGGCCCCTGAGGGTCATTATGGAAGAGATGCAACATACAGATAAGCTCATAATTGAGCGGTGGACTTAACCATGGAAACTACCTCCCAGGTTATTCGTTACTGTGAAACATGTGCTGCAATAAAGCAGGCCAAGCAGGTAAACCCCTTGTGGTATGGGAGACGATGGTCAAGATATAAATATGGGGAGGCCTGGCACATTGATTACATCACATTGCTGCAAACCCGCCAAGGCAAGTGCTATGTGCTGACAATGGTGGAAACAACCACTGGATGGCTGGAGACGTACCGGTGCCTCATGCCACCACTCGTAACACCATCCTGTGCCTTGAAAAGCAAGCAAGTCCTGTAGCAACACAGCACCCCAGAGTGAACTGAGTCAGACAACAGGACTCATTTCAAAACCAGCCTCACAGACCCCTGGGCTAGAGAGTACAGAACTGAGTGGATGTATCATATTCCCTATCATGCACCAGCTTCTGGGAAAACTGAATGTACAATGGACTGTTTGAAAGCAATGGGTGGTGAGAACTTCAAACATCGGGATTTATACGTAGCAAAGGCCACCTGGTTAGTTAACTCTGCCAATCCAGCTGACTCCGCCCAATCAGAACCCTTACCTACCACAGAAGGAGATAAAGTCCCCATGGTGCATATGAGAAGTTAGGGAAGACAGTTTGGACTAGTCCTGCCTCAAGCAAAGGCAAACCCATCTGCAGGACTGTTTTTGCCCAAGAGCCTGGATGCACTTAGTGGGTAACACAGAGGAACAGGGAAACACTAGGCGCACCTCAATGGGATTTGATTTTTGGGTGAGAACAGTCTGTAATGTTGAACTGTGTATGTAATATTGGTTGCTGAATGACACTACCACCATGTGTCATAACTACCATGAGTGTGGACTGCTCCAGTTACACCAGTTGTGAGCTCCTGATGCAGCTTGCAACCCACTGACAGCACACCAGCTCTCCTGCTGTGGAAGACATCCAGGATGGACAGAGCCCACAGACATGGACTAAATGAATTCAACAGATGTCTTGGGGGACAGCCATTTACTAATGAAATGATACCTGTGCTTGTGTATAGTTATGTGTGTATATATATATATATACACACACACACATGCACACATATACACACTTGAAAGGTCTAAGATTTGGGCATGACATAGATACTTTAGAATAAGGGGTGCATAATGTCCTGGTTGCAGAGACAGGGCAGAGCTTAGAGCCATGCGGGCATGGCAATGTTGCTATTCAATACCACTCACAGCTGGGAGGTATTAAACCACCACAAGGTGGTACAATGGATAGTCTCATCTACCCTACACAGGAAACTCAAACTCAATTCAGATGCACTGGTGACCTCACTCTCTTTAGATCATCAGGAAAAGTGTTTTAAGACTTCACATTTCTACCCCATCAAGAGATATGTCCATTTACCATGAATTCCACAGAAATTGTGACAACAGTTTGGCTGGCAACAATGGTTTTTCAAGGAAGATACGTAGCTCAGAGTCCAAGGTATCAGTCTTTCAGCGGGGTTTTGTTTCCAAATGAAGTCTCCAACTTTAAGAATAGTCTCTTGAGCCCTCTCTTTAATAGCAGCTTCTAGCAGAAGTTTTAGAGACAGTGAACTCTGCAAGGGCAAGGCCAGTTTTAGTCCGTGCACAAAAAAACCAGGTGAAACCCCAGCCCCACTGAAGTCAACAGCAAAATCCACAATGGCCTCAGAAAAGTAGTTTTAAAGCAAGTCAGCAGTTAGTCAAAGGGAACCCAACTAGGTGATTCCTGCACTATCCTCATTTTCTGCACATACATAGTACTCCCACACACGTAAGCAAACTTTGTTTTGTTCCCTTGTTTTTCTTGCCATTGGCAACTCCTGGGGTCTTGAGTCTATTTTTTGGCATTTACTCTGAAAAATCTCAACACTGGAGCACACCACTATTGTACTTCATTTTGCTTCTGGTTTAAGAATTCAGAGAAGAGAAAAACAGTTACAGCAGAACACTTTTGGTACTTGACAGGTTTGGTTCATCAAAACAGAATTACAGGCAACGTCCTATATTCTTAGTGTATCAGTGCCATTTTGCCTTCTTCCACTGAATTAAGTAACTTAAGGAAGTCAATGCCTTCCATTATTACTAAACTTTCTGATTGTGAATAAACACCATTTATGAATCATACTTAGAGGATTTCTGCCTCAAAGAACCTGCATGCTTCACAGAAGTAGCCAAACAAATCAGGCTTACCAGCTTTAGTTATCCCTCTGCGTACTAAGTTATTTCGGTTACCAAGTAATCATCACTCTTCAACAAATAATTATTTTTGACAGAAGACAGTTTTTATGTAGTATCGCTACTGCCATGTATCTCATTTTAAAGGACAAATTCTGAAGCCTGTAGTTGGAGTCCAGATACTTCTGTGTCAAATCAAAAACTCTCAATGCTTTAGGGTGAGAAAGATAAACTTCATGACAAAAACCAAAATAAACCCTATTTCACTACAACATCTTATCATTGTTTAAATATACTGCAAATTGATACCAGAAACAGAGCAGGCTTTTTTTTTTGTGGATAATAGAAAAAAAAAAAATGCTTAAACAGACAACTGTGAAAATGGCTAATGCAAACAGACCATTCAAACCCATCATTCCTCAAATCTGATACTGAATGAGTTTTAATTTGTTTTGCAGTTACTTCTGTACAGCTGTCTAAAAAGGTAAACAAACTACAGCTCTGTTATACTTGGATAGTATGAGTGGTATGGTATGCTCCAGAAGTCTCTAGTAGGCTATGGCTACACATGACAGGATTCCTCAGAAGGGGAACAAACAGGTTTGTCATTAAGGTCACTTAAATCTTTGTTATAGCAAATTGGAACCAAATGGCTGACTTCTGCAGGATTTCTGACAGGAATCCAGTAGAGCTGGTTTCAAGTTTCAGATGGCCACTAAAACAGCTGTAACCTTCTCTTCCAGAAGTTGTGATCCACATGGTGTCCACAATGAGTGCAGCAAGTCTGAGGTAGTCAACCTTTACGAAGGCTCAGTATCTGAACATAAAAAGATTTTGAAATGACCACTGGCTGTAGGTATCTTTCTGAGCAATTAAAGAACACTGATGACTCTTGTTCAATCATTTACATTAATTTGCCCCATATCCAATGGAGAAGTTGCAATATATTATGCTTCCATAGTGCAGGAGAACCAATCACTTACGTCAAAGTAGTCTGCACTCGCTGCAGTAGATCCAGCAGAAATAAGGTGGCATGTTCATCATAGCTGTTAGCTGTAGTTTAGTTACCTTAGTAGAAGGGTTACCAAAAATGCATTCCTTAATTGTAATGTGTGTGCAGCTCTACTGATCCCCAAGCACAGCATACTGGTTGTCTAGCTGAAGTTTAAGTGCCTGGTTTTTTGACACCTCATCCCTACCTCTAGTTTTGTATTTTACTACTTCAAAGCTCTTCTCCATTTCTTTATCCCTAAGGGAAAATAAATGTAATCAGTAAATATCTTATCACTAGCTTGTGAATTGTGAATTTCTAGACTATTTCCACCCCATCCCAACAAAAACATTATAAACATAAAACAAACACTAAGGTCTTAAGTTCAACAGAATAGCCAAACATTCCCAAGCAAATCTTATCTCCAAAATACATAAATATCTATCCATTGTACCACCCAGTACGATTCAGATTATAAATGTCAATATTAACATTCTCAAAAGTAAATTTAAGTGCAATTATGAAAAATAGGTTCTAGAAAGCAGAAGCCAATTTCCAGAATGTTCATTCAGAATTTCACCTTGACTCAATTTGTACCATTCAAACCCCAAAGCACCAATGACAGCATGTTTCATTTGCCAAGCACACAAAGCCACACCAAAAAAAAAACCCCAGAGCTTCTGCCAAGCTGTATTAAACAGTAACATAGCAAGCAGGGAGAGAAAAAAATCCCATCAAACTACAACAACAACAAAAAGGAAAAAAAAAATCATCAACAAAAAGCTCCCAAAAATCCCAAGTGAATTAAGTATTGGCCTAGCTATCTCTTCTATTGACAATGAGGTTATGGTGAAATCAGGATTGAAAAGCCAGGTGAGACTCAAGTCTTCAGCACCACATAAATACAAAACACTTCCGTAAAACGGGGAGCTCGTCACTGTTAACCACAGCTCAGACAGCAAGTGTATGGATTTGTATTTGTATCAAACCCCATTCTTCCACTTCAGCTACCTTCACAACTCTAAAGCGAAGGCAGTATGCTCAAGACTTCCTACATGCCTGTTGAAGGTAGTAACAGAGAGCTTCCCTCCCCACGGCTAGTGTCTCAGGGAACCAGATGCTGTCAAGTGCATAAATATTTTGCTTCAGGGAAATCCTTCAGTCATCAAAGATAACATAACTGGCAGTCTTGTTTGGCTGTCTTACTGAGCTAGGTCCTATGAAAATTATTTAATGGGAATAGAGTCAGAAAATATAGTTAACACCTCTTAGTAACTTCTTTCTCTGTGGAAAGATTCAGGCTTAAGCCCTACACAAAATAGGAACTTAGAGAAAGCAGTTAACTCATGTCTCTTGGGGCATTAATGGAATGTACTTACTTTCGACTGTCTACAAGCTTGGCGGTGGACTGCAGTGATGGGAACTGCGTATCACTATAGATTTCTGGTGGTCCTTGCTGTGCTCTCCGTGGCCTGCCACCCTCCCGGGCACCGGGCGGCCTGTATACACCACCAGTCTGAACTGGTTCTGGAGCTTCTGTAACTAGTTACAAGGACTAGAGTTACACAAGCGAAAAGGTTTACATTCATAGCTGAAGAAAAAAAACAACAAACAAACAAAACAACCAACACACAAACCGAACTCCACAAATCTTTTAAGTACGTTTTTGCACCTTTTAGAGCTTTGGAAGCGAATATTTTAGACGAAGTAGGAAATCAGCTATCATCTAATTCGATCTATACTCAGTGGTCAAATCAAAACATGACTAATTAGCTTTACCTCCTTGCCTGTACAAACAAGGAAGAACAAAGTAGACTATTTTTCAGTAATTTCTCAGCGAAAGAGAATATTCTGAACTCAGATCACGACTTGGTAGTTTACGTCCACTGATGCTAATAAATTGTATTTAATAAAAAAACTAAAGTCCTACCCTAGTTAAAGAATCAATTTTGCAATGTCATGTTCTCCATATCCTAGAACTAATTTGAAAAGCGTGCTACTAACCATGGAAGCCTATTCAAGAACTGCCACGTTAGACATCAGATATTGGCTGAACAACCACAGAAGTGTTAAAGCAGTATTTTTAGATCAACAGAAATGCTTCCCACAGATATTTTGCAGATTGGATAGTAGATGGATCTCCTGAAAAGACAGAATGCTTCCCCCCACCCCCTTGAAGTCAGAAATAAAAAATACTTCCCCTTGTGTTTTAAAGTAGCGGGCAGACACTTTAAATTCAATTCAGTTCCTCAGATGCCCTCACAGGAAAATCTCCTTGTTTACTAGCATGCCAAACAAGCCACTAGTATGTTAATGGATGCCTGAACAAAACTGTTCCTTGAGCTTTACCCAGGGAGCAGCTTAATTCAACCTGATGCACTTCCAATTGGAAAAAACAACTCTGAGTTAAATTTACCAATTGGTTCAATGACAGGTGCTGGTGCAGGAGCTGACTTGTTCCAAGGACCAGATGATCTATCTACACCACCACCACCAGTCTCTTCCCAATTGTCACCAGGTTCTTCTCTTTTTTCACTTTCGTCATCTTCCTTTTCACTATAAAAAAAGAAATGATCATTAGTACCTTACAAGCAGAGGTTTAAGACTTGCCAGAGATTACAGAATCCCCATAAACAAGACTTCATGGCTGCTGTACTGAAAGGACTAGCTTAAACCAGACTACATTAGTCCCATAATCACTGAACTAGTAATTCCATCTGAACAATTTTTGGCACACTGCTACATAACTTGGCAACTGAGAAGAAAAAAAAAGTACTTGAGAAGCAAAACTTACAAAAAAAGACAAATTCAACTTGAACTAAGTGATCAAAGAAACTGGTATCTTATTTTGAGCTTAAAGGCTTTTTCCTTACTAAGACATTTGAAAGGGTTGAGAAGACAAAGCAGGAAAGGTCTCAAAGTCCAGTTTCCACAAAATGCTTTAGTCAAGACGAAGAAATAGTGGAGCATTCGTGAAAAAAAGCAAGTCCTGAGCTCACATTCCCTATAGGCACAACCACGTGAGAAACACACTCATATTACCCATACACACATATTCTACAATCAAACTCAGATTTTTTTTTTCTGAAAGCAGGCAATCAAAAAAACCCACAAGAGAGTAAAATATGTCATTTTTTAAAGATAAATCCTATGCAAAAGCTTGACTGTATTTTATTTAGACTATTATATTTTGCACAGAAATAGTCAAGAGACCCAAAATAACTTCCTGGTCAAAGCTACTACAGAAAGCTGTGTAGCAGAATGTGACAGATGTGGAGGGTGAGGCTGTTGAAAAAAAATCCAGACACTGATCTCAACAGCAGCAAAGTGTCAATTCAGAAGTTTGTAATACACCAAATCCTACTAATCATGATCTGTGTAAACTTTCTGTGTAAATAACAATCAGAGAACAGCAAAATATGCCTGTAATTTCTGAAAACTAAGTGGCCTTTTACTGTTCATCCAAACACATTAACAATCATAGTAAGGTGATCCAAGGGCCTAAACCATCACTGCCGCATTTTAAACGAGAGTCAGAAGCAGATGCCTACAGACTAACTACAACAGAGCCAGTACAAGTAACACCCCACCCCGTCAGATACTCTGTATCTTATTTTCAGCAAAGAGATCTCCAGAGACGGATAATTTATAACCTCTAGTGGTTTTTTCTTCCATTTACTTCTCCACTCTTCCCTTCAATCTACGAGTGGTTACAAAGTCCTGTGGCAGAAACTTCCATGTGCCTGAAAATCTGCCACAGCATCAAAAGCATTCCAAATGCCAGCCTTTGTCTGGAAAATCAAGGTACTGGCTTTCCAGTCAAACAGCACCAGTAGTCAGTAAAGCCGCAGCCCACTGGTTACTTGTCTATTCAGACGTGATTATCCACCGTGACAATTCAATGGCATGGACAGCTTGTGGGCCAAATTCATGCAAATGGCCTAAAAGGACCAGTTAACTGAAAGGGGTAGGGGGAATTATGTGATCCAAAAAAGTAAATAATTCAAAGAGTATGTCAGACCTGCTCACACAGTGGAGAAAACATCTACTGCATCGGTTATGATGATTTTAGGACAACGTTATTTTGATCATCATCAATACCTGGACATGGTACCTAATTGCCAGCATTATCTGGCATTCTCAGGCTACGACTGAGGTCATAAAAACCCATTTTCTGACCCAATGAAAAGTTTTTCTTAACCAGGACAGACTTAAGTAGACCTACTTTGGACCAGACAACAGGAAAAGTCTAATGAAAAAGCAAACAAGAAATCATGGATGAGACTCAGAAATGCAGTCCTGTGGGATCTTATCATGGGACACTAGCTTTAGCAACTGTATTTTTGTTTTACTGAAATAAAGACGCAATGGTTCAGGAATTTGCTCCCAAACTGAGGATCCTGAACAGATGGAGTCAGATACTGCTACAGCAGCCAAATGATTCAGTGGGAATTACTACCCTGCACTCCTCTGAGAAATTCTTTACTATCTTTATGGAGGGGAACGTTAAGCATTTGTAATAAAAATCTAAGTCCCAACTAAAACAGACAGACCTAGAGTATGAATGGAAATTTAGAAAATAAAGAGTATACTGGCAGAGACCAGTCAAACCTAAGTTACCCAGGAGCAAAATTCTATACTATCAGAAATGTACCAAACTTCCTTTAACTGGACTCCATGGAAGCAGTTCTGAAGAAAAAAATCCATTCTTTTTAAACATACGTAATGATTATACTGGAGAAAAAAAATAAGGAAAAAGTAGTACCTTATTTGCATGGATTGAACTCTAAGACCACTATAATCAATTTCTTCCTTTTGCTCAAACTCCTTCCAATCATCCTCTTCCTGTAAGAAGAGAAAAATTAAGTTGTAACTTTCTTTACAACAAAAGTAGAAAAGGAGAATGTAACTAAGATAATGCAAAGAAAACTGAGGGTAAAGGTGCAGTTCTAAGAGAAACCAAACTGTGACCACCAGTGGCAAGAGGGTAAAGGATTGTATGCCCTCCTCCCCTAACGTACTGTCACCAGGGGCACACCTGTGAGCTGACTTTAACTGACTACAACAGCTAAGAAATGCCCCAGCAAAGAAGTCGTCCGAGTGAAAGAAAACCACATCATCTCAGTAAACATCCATGAGGAAGTCAAGGGACAACACAAAGCATGGAACAGGACTGTGCAGTCATGACCAGGGAAACACAAGGCAAGCCCTCTCTGTTACTAACAGTAAGCTTTTGTGACAGCTTGAAGGCACACGAAGCTTTAGATTTACTTTTCCATCATCTATTTCATGAGCAAAACAGTAAAGAACATCTGGAATGGCTTTCCGTGGATTTATGACAGAGATTAATATTGATACATTTAGTTTTTTCACATTCACAGCCATGTTTACAGTCTTGTTTTCTTAGAAACGTTTTTGTAACAGTCAAAAGGTCAGCTTCAAAACCACAGCAAGCTTAGTACCCAAAAACATGTATCTTTCAAGAGCTTCACTACAGAGTTTTAAAACAGGAGTTTGATTACATGTTTGGGGAAAGAGGGACTCACCTAAGTGGAGTTAATTTTGTCCTACTGTGTCATTAGCAGATTCTGGGATTATTAAGGTAGGCCAGAAATGGACCAGAACAGATAAGCAGTCCTCACAATGTTCCCAGTCACAGCTTTAAGACACACACAGCCTAATTAATAGTTTACATAATTCTTACACACTACATGAAATGCAGTTATACTACTTTAAATAGGAAGACCTTGAGAACAAGGTCTGACAAAGGTACAGTCCCCTTTCCACTGAACAGCTGGGAATAAAGCTTCTTCTAGAGCCCTGTGCTAGGACCTTCTACATTGTCAATCTCCAGCAGAAAAACTCTGACCTGCTTTAGAGTAACAGACGTAGGAAATGACCCCATGTAACTGCACCATCTGCTGAAGATTCAGTCTTTTGGAAGAGCATGAATCTACAGCTCTAAAACCTTTTAGATTTCTTATATCCCCATCTCCATGGAAACATCACAGTTTCCAAGCTAACATACCTTTCACATTCAGTGATTTTTATTTCTAATCCAAGTACAAGCTTCGGTCAAAGCCACATACTATTTTACCAGCAATTGAGTAAAACAGCAGCTGAAAGATTACCGCTGACCTTGATCTACTCAGAAAGCTACTGCACTTGTTGAGTTCTCAGTTAAATATCAGGAAACAGTAGAGTATTTCTTAAGATTTGTTTTGAAACATGCAGCATTAGACCTCTTATAACTGCTTCTGGTTTCAGTATTCAATCTAGCACAAGAAAATATCCTCAAATCATTGATCCCCTACGTAACAATGAAGGAAGCAAAGTATCTGACTTCCAAAAACCCTTTCACAAGCCATCTTTTTATATTCAGAGAGTGTACAATAATATCACAGGGACAGATGAAGATTTAGTTTGCAGCAGCAAAACAGAGAAGAGATCCTTAGATTACTACTTGTTAAAGCCCCCAAAGGAAAACAACATCAAGAGGCAAAAAAAACCAAAGCAGAAATAAAAGGTTGAAGTAATTTCTTAGGTTCTATTTGTCCTGTCTAAAGCAGAAAGATACATTAGAAAGCTACTGCATATGTCAGGCTCCCCAGTTTAAACATCATTACGAAACAGCAGAGTATTTCTTAAAATTCATTTTGAAATATACAGCACTAGAGATCCTATAACTGCTTCTGGTTTCAGTTACATTAGTTCGGTGCTGATGCTGGGGCCAGGGGAGAGAAGGGCGGAGGAAGAAACAGAGGCACTAACTCAACTACGGGCACTTAAGCTTCTCCTGCATTCTCATCGTTGCACTGTAATACGGTAGCAAAAAAAAAAAAAAAAAAAAATTACTGGCAGTAAAACCCTTCCTGGCAGCGAGGCACAGAGCGGACTCCGGGGAAATCTTATCGCCAAGGTCCACAGGCCACGCTGCACAGCCCCAGGTGGCCCAGGGCTGGCACCTGCCGCAAACTCCCGGTTCCGGCCGCAACACCCGGAAACCCGGGAGGGACCGCAGGGCGGGAAGGGGCCCCGCTCTCCCGCCTCCCACCAGGCCAGGACTCGCGGCGAGGGGCTCCCGCGACCCTCCCACCAGCAGCAGGAGCAGCGGCCGTCCGGACGGCCCCGGGTGGGGCTGGGCTGGGGCTCGGGCTCCCCGCCAGGCCCCGCACGGCCCCGGGCGCCGCATGGCCGGGCGGCGGCGGCGCCCCCTGCCGGCAGGAACCCGCGGCCTCCCCGCCCGCACCTTGCTCGCCGCCTTGGCCGAGGAGCCGCCGGCGGCGCTGGAGGCGGCGGTGGCCCCAGAGCCGCCGCCCTCAGCAGGGCGGGGGGTCCCCGCGGCCGCGCCCGCGGCGTTGGAGGCGGCGTTGGAAGCGCTGGAGGCGGCGGCGGCGGCGCTGCGGCTGCTCTTCTCCTTCCGCTTCTTCTTGTCCCGCTTGGCGAAGAAGTCGTCCAGGCTCCGCTCCTCGGTCTCGGCCATGGCGGAGCCGGGCGGGGGCAGGAGAGGCGGCGGCGGCCCGGGCGGACAGGCGAGCTGCGCTCCCGCTGCTGGGCGAGCGCGCCCGCCCGGCGGCGGCTGCGGCGGCTGCGGAGGCTCCTGCCCGGCCCGCCCGGCGGGTCGCGCGCCCCACGCCTGACACGGCCCGGGGGGAGCAGAGGGGCTGAGGGGAGGCGGGGCGGAGCCGCGCCCCTGCGCGCGCATGCGCTGCCGCGCGCCGGCCAATGAGCGCCGCCGGCCCCTCGGGGGCGTCTCCAAAAACGGGGCGAAAGGCGCTGACGTTGTGGCGCGTGAGGCCCGCGCGCGGCGGGCGCGGGGAGGGCGGTGGCGGCGCGGCCGCGGATTGGCCGAGTTGGGCGGGGCGGGGCGGGGCGGCGCGTGCGCACCAAGGGCCCGGCTGGCTCGCGCGGACACCTCGCACTACCGCCCCTCCCCGTCTGGGCAGGGATCGGCTCCATGGGGGTGTGACAGGTTGTCCACGAAACTGCAGTGTGACAGCCCCCCGTGCTTGCCAGGAGGGCCCAGTCGTATCCTGGGGCGCATCGGAAAGAGCGTGGCCAGCAGGTCGAGGGACCCTCTACTCAGCCCTAGTGAGGCCACATCTGGAATAGTGTGCCCGGTTCTGGACAAGGAGCTACTGGAGAGGGTCCATCGAAGGGACACAAAGATTATTGAGGGAGCGGAGCATCTCTCTTATGAGGAGAGGCTGCGGGAGGTGGGCCTGTTTAGTCTGGAGAAGAGAAGACTGAAAGGGGGTCTCATCAATGCATATAAATATCACAGAGGCAGGTGCCAAGGCGGTGGTGCCACACTGTTCAGTGGTGCCCAGAGACAGGACGAGGAGTAGTGACAATAAACTAAAACATAAGAAGTTGCACCTCAACATGAGGAAGAACTTCTTTACCTTGGGGGTGGCAGAGCACCGAAACAGGCTGTCCCAGGAGGTCATGGAGTCTCCCTCTCGAGACATTCCAAACCCACCTGGATGTGTTCCGTGTCACCTGCTCGAGGTGACCCTGTCTTGGCGGGGGGATTGGACTACGTTATCTCCAGAGGTCCCTTCCAACCCTAACCATTCTGTGATCGAGATCGGCTGCAGCTCCTGGGGAACCCCTTGGCTGCTTCCTGCATTGGGCTGTGCCGTGAAAGAGGGACATTCACCTTGGACTCAGAGTGTGGCAGGAGTCACTTCTGAGGAGACTGAGAGAGCTGCTGGAGCGGCCCCAGCCCTCAGCCAGTCCTGCCGGCTCCGGGCACTGCTCGGCCTGCCCGGCTCCCACCCATGACGCGAGGTGATGTTCACTCCCAGCCTAGACTGCAGTGACAAAGGCGCTGCCTCCTGCACCCCAGCAAGGGCCATGAGCTTACACTGCCATTGTAAAGGATGTAAGGAAGTAATTTAGCTTTCATCTTGGAGATGGTGTGGTTAAGTGAGTAAGCCTTGAAACACCACTTTGTCTAGGATGTCCGGATGTCTTGGCGTCAGCTTCCTAACTGCTTTCCTGACTCACATTGAAGCCTAGGGAATATCTACTGGAAAACTGACTTCACAGTGGATGTCTGCAGATTGTCACCTCTCCCTTTGGGTACTGTAGTGACCTTTAACTCTGGAAAAAACCATGGGTATTTAAAAAGTTCACTGTAGCTTCAAAACGCGTTGTCAGAAGTTTTGAGGCAGGACATTTGGAAAAACAGCCTCAGACTGTCATGAGTCATAAATAATGCCATGAAACACTGTTTCTGATTACTTACTTTGTTGGTCAGCCATCAAAAGGAGATAGAAGTTCCTGCTGGTAAAGTGTAAACCCAAATGAGAATTACCTATCAAATATGTATTGGTTTGTATTACAATTATATAAAAATAAGCATGTTTGTACTCTTGAGTTATTTGATACAATTTTGTGCTTTGTGATATTTTCTTTTGAAATCGTTACATATATGTGTATATATTAACATAGAAATGAAAAGTTTTTCCAAACTTTGGAGAGTGACAGTCTCAGTTTCTGTCCATGAAAGTACTGTTATTTAGTGGTTTTCATCCATGTTTCTCAGACTGTTTGAGAAAAACAGGGGAGGTGCCATTGTCATACTGCAGAAAGGTTAAATACATGATGTCTTCATGAAGCATCAAGTAGCTGTGAATAAATGAGTCACTGTAACCAAGTGTTTTGCCTTTGGGAGATGTGTTACAGTCATATTTTTATGTGCCATCCTATGTCTTCCCTGTATTTCTCTACTACCTGTGTTCTTCTAGGGTTTGAGCCTGCACAGAGCAGGCCTTGAGAACTAAAAGCTGCAAGTGTAACAGTTTGTCTGGTAACACCAAGAATGCCGCGTGATCAACGACACTTTCTATTTGTGACAGAAATAATTACTGAAGTAGGGAGCATATTTGGTAGCTAAGTCTCATTTTCTGTGCCTCCTTGGTGCTTCCCTCTTACTCTCCCCTTCAGCTGATAGGAGGTTTCGTGGAAGGTGTGACAGGGGACTGTTGGGTGTGGAAGAGTGTTTGACATTCCTTTTGTTGAAGCGCTGCATTCCCTTGTTTGTGCTCCATTACTGCCCAGGAAGCCAATGTACCTCCACGCTGCACTGTGCTGTGACTTGCAGGCTCAGCACTGATAATACCATGCAACTAAGCAGATAGTTTGTGTTCCTCAGCTTTTGTGGCTAATAATGACCACTAAGTATAGTGCTGTGCCTGATTCTGAACTTCTGCAACTGGTAAAATATTTTAGTTGCATTATTATGGATAACCCCATTATCAGGCTGATGAAAGTGAACCTGATGCCTTTTTGCTGCTTTTAGCATCTGCGTCACTTGTCTCTTGCAAACACAGTGCTGCAAGGCTGGAATGCCCAGCTCTGGATTAGAAACTTAATACCTGTCAGGAGCAGAGTACTGAGAAACATTTCAGCTGTTAAATCTGGAACAGACTCAGCAGAAACCATGGAAAATAACAGCAACATTTTAGGCCTCGGAAGGCTTAGATTCAGATTTAAAGACATGTCTCAGTTGGCGCTTTAAAGGAAGCATTAGTTATGTGGTTATGCTTGGATTTGCCTCCCACCTCTAGTTTTATTTTTATGTAAAATTGTGAAAATGTGCTGATGCATGGCATTTGTAGTTCACTGCGAATGCCTTGTGTTGGCTTTTACAGTTAAGATTGTCGCTGTGTAAAAAGTTAGATGCAGAAAAAAGGTCACTATTTGTGTTTTCCTTTCTCGAATTCAGCATTTGTCAATACTTGCACAGAGGACATTTTGCTGAAGAATGGCTCGCAGGCCTGGCTGGCAGAAGTAATGTTTATAATGGAAGGAATATGTCCAGAACGCCACATTGCTGTGATGGGAGCATGAGCTCAACACACAGCTTTCTGCTGCACTGTGTATCACTGACCTGTGTGACCCACCTTGGGCAAGACACAGCGCTCTGATGCCTCTGCTCAGATACGGATTTACCTGGAGCACCGAAGACTTTGTCTCTTTCCTCCCCCACATTAGCAGTGCACACTGCAGTGTGCCTGTCACGGCACACAGTGGTGCTTGCCTGCCTCTCTTCTCTGTCCTGTAGCTATGGCGAGCCTTGCCATGATGCTGTTCCCTGTGCATCTTGGTGCATTTTATAAAGCCTGAGGTGTGAAGCACTACTGCATGTAGGGGAAGTGATGCAGCAGCCACTGTTCTTGTGGAGAAACTGAAAGGGAGGAAAGTCGAAGTGAGTTGTGGGTGATGCCGGAGTTAAGAGCAGACTTCCATTTCCAGTCCCCCAGTGTTTCATCTTACCCTTACTTCTTTGTACCTAATTATCATTCTGTGACATGAAGGTGGTAGCACTGCAAACTGCTTTGACATTTGCAGAGCACAAGCAGAAGAACAATTCATTTTGTAACTTTCAGGCAGATGCCTGCTTGAGGAAATTGGAAAAGGTGCCATTAGGTGCAAAGCAGTTTGCAGAAGGGTTCTGGTGTAGTTATCATCACAGCATGGGCCCAGTTCTCTTTAGGAGCTTAACCTTCCTCTCAGCTCTGAGGCTCTCTCTCTGTAGTTTCAGACCTCTATAGCCAGAAGGGAGAAGTGTTATCATGCCCATTCTTCACCAGTAATTGCTATCTGAAAGCAGGTAGTGGTGGCAGCAGTGCATGGTGTTTTGTTAAAATGTTAAATTTTACACAATGCCAGCTTGAAAGTGACCTTAAAAATAATCTTTTAACAATAGAATCAGTATAATAATCCTTATACTGAAATGCAAACAGTAGAATGATAGGCTAGAGTACTAGTTCTTACCTGGTGTGCTATGTTTCTGCTCAGTGTGAAATCTTCAGTGAGGCAGGGACTAGCATAGGGCTGGCACCCTCTGCTTCTCCCAAGGATGCAGCAGCATCTGTTCAAGCTGTAGTGCAGAAGAAGCTGTGCCTGGCTGAGGAGGAGGATAAAGTACACGAATGGTTTGATAGTACAGCTCATCTGACCTAGTGACTAGCTGTCACCAAGGGGGATGGCTGTGCTTTACAGCCTGGACTAGTTCCTCTTCCCTCCCATCTCTGTTCTGCTACTGGTGCAGGTCTGCCCCTGCAGTGGCCTGATTCAGGGGACTGAGTGGAAGGAAAGCTTCCCAGCATTTTGCAGGGCTAATTTTCTGCTGATTTTGATTCTTGAACTGTCTCCTGAGACATCAGCCAAGTGTTGGTGCTAACAGAAGATGGTGCAATGGGAATACATAGCATGCAAGGGGGAGTAGAGATGTCCTTTTGTGCAGCAGCTGGCTGTTAGATTGTATTATCTGTATGCTCATAACAGCAAATGCTACAAATCCCTTCATAGGAATATGGGTGTCAGAGATACTGCAGCAGGACATCATAAAATCTGTTTTCTCATCCTGGTTTTCTAAGGAAAACCAGCTGGAAACATGTTCACATGTATCTAATAGAGCAACTGCTAGACTAGGGGATAAATATAAATCTCAGTGTGTACAAATAGTTGTGAAAGCCTTTAGTCTCTCATGTTCTCAATCTCCTGTCTCACATGGTGAAGACTGTTAATGCTTAGACAACATTCAGGCTGGCAAGGCATGCTGGAGGGGCTCCTAGGCAGCTGGCAGCAGTCTGTGTAAAAGTACAGAGAGATTTCTTCACAAGAGCTTTAGCTCGTCATATGGAAGCACTTTGATTTAGAAGGGCCAGACGTGCTACATTTGACTTCTGATGGACTATTCACAAAAATAATCTTTTCTGTGGCTTTTACTCTTTGCTAAGGATAGAGAGAAAAGCTGCTGGAAATTCATTATTTATGGTTAGATGCTTCCTCCTTTTCCAGACACTTCCCCATGCTGAAGTACCTTGATGATTTTGCAAGAAACTATTTCCATTCCAATGAATAAACATCTCAGTATGAATCTAATGTAATGTTTATGAAATAAGCTGGATCATGGCATATAAGAAATCTAAAAAAAATATCTTTGTTTCACATGACAGTATAGTTGTAGACTCAGAATTTCATCAGGTTTCTCTCCATCAACGGTATTTATAAAGAACAGTTTCACAGTGCGATAGCCAGCAGTTGCTTTTCATGCCTGAAGCATCACTAGAAGATAGCAAAGACATCTGAATCCAGATTGTATGCTTTTATGCTTTGTAAAGTCCCTCTTCATTTTCAAATCACAGGGATATTGCTCTCTCTTCTGTGTCAAGAATGAGGGGGAGCTTATGTTTTGTTAATGCCAAAAAGTGACCATTCCTAGACACCATCCAGTTAGCCACAACTCGAGCGTCTGTGCTATCTCATTTCTTGTACCACTGTGTGTTTATATTTTCTCTCATCATCACTATTCCTGATAGAGCCCAGTTTAGTAAGTTGTCTGCACTGATGTGTGAGAAAGTAATATTGCTGCTCTGAGGAGCCTACATTCTGTGGAAAAAAAAAAAAAAAAAAAGAGGAAATCTGCCATCATCTGCCTTTCTTTTTTTTGGTCATTGCTGGGTAATCTTTTAATCTAGTAATTTTTTGATCAAAATCTTGCAGGTAGTACATGCCAGATGGACTTTTTGCAAAGATTGAATGAGGGATTGTTTGTCAAGTAACTGTATCAGAAAGGATTTTTCATGGTGGGGGGGAATGTGCAAGGAAAGGCATGACAACACTTGTGTGCCTATTCCTGTAATTTACTGGTGGATTGAGTTTAGTGGGTTTCGAGGGTGTTTGATTTTATCATATGCTGTGTGCCATTTCTCAATAGTCTTTCAGTCTGCTTTGTGTTGTCAGTCTGAATTGTGTTGTCACCCACTGTAAAGTCTTAATCCAACGAACGCATGTATGGTTAACTTCATTCCTATGTGGAGACTTGTGAAGGAAAGCCAGCCATCTTCTAAAATTTTGTGTGATAGAGGCAAAAGTTCATTATGTTTCTCTGAAAATGCAGGATCCATCTTGGCATTTTATGTGTATGGCACGTGCAATACAATGAGGTTATCAATGTTTAAAATGTAAAAGAAAGTCAGAAGTGAAAGATGGCAAATATTTTTCATCATGATACCATCAAAATAAGGGAAACTACCTAGGGTCACCCATCATGTCGATGCTATGTGGGTATCTGCTCAGAAGAAGTTTGGCCAACCTGCCTTGGAGAGATGTTGATATCAAGAAAGAACCAAGCATACAAAACCAAATATCAAAATATATCAATATATCAAAAAGTATCCCATTTGCACAAACTGACACCCTGGCTTAAGACTCAGTATTTAGTAAAAGGATGCAACCTGGATTGCAGACAGAACTGCTGTTGCTGTCCTGCGCCTTCAGCTTTTCCAGAAGTTTAGTCTAGAGTTAAAAATGTGTTTATAAAGTACTGCTGGCATGTTTGCATTAATGACTGCTGGTTTACTTATTGCAAAATTAATTGCATCGAGTTAACAGTGCACTTGACTGCTTCAGTGTTGTTTGAATTAGATTTCACACTGCTGAGCTGATGGTCTTGTGATGCAACAGAGCACTAGCCATTTCCATGTGGGTGCTGTGTGCACAGTGGAGGGGTAGTTCAGTCTTAACACATTTGTACTACAAAAAGGAAGAGTTTAGTTGCTAGGAAGTGGAGGGCTGATGTTCTTAATCTAACCCCCTTCAGCTATCATGAAAAATACGGGAAAGAAAGAAAAAGCCAAACAAAACCCTGATATTCTTTATTTTTATTATAATTTTAACAACGTGAGTAAATTGAAATCTGTAAGCAAAGCAATTACATGAGGAGGGTCTAATAAAGTTGTTCAAGCTACAACCTACTTTGATTGTTGAATCAAACTGAATAAAGCAGGCTGCTTTGATGGGTTTTTAGCTTCCACGAACATAACTGGCAGTGACATCTTCTTTTGCTTTAATGGCAATGGTCTTCTCTGGGCTGGGAGTTTCATAATCAGCTGGAAGTAGAAAAAGTGGAAAAATAAAAATTGGTCACTACTACAAATAAGAAATCTCATCAGCTTCAGCAGGATCAGATTATTTTAAAAATTCTCCTTGGCCTGAGAAAAAGAGCAAGTCAAAATCTGTGGATCAGATTCTCAGAGGTTCCATGACTAATGGTGATTACGGATCTTAGCAAAGCCCAACTAAGCAACCCAACCCAATCACTGTAAAGGTGTTTGCTGTACTTGACACTGTAGAGGTTATTCCTAGAGGACAAATGTTAAGAGCCTCAACTAAAATTCTTTACAAAAGGTACAGTCAGTAATCCAAATTCCACCCTTGGACTTTAGGGAGAACTTATGTGCTTAGAAAGGGAGCTTCCCCAGGACCACTGCTTTAATATTTGGACTGTGTAGAAGGAAGAGGAGGGATGGCATAATGTACCCGAGGCAACCAACACATTTCCTTAGCAGCAACTAATGTTGTAAGATACTGTAGTAGCTTTTTACTATCACACCTTAAATCATCAGAGAAGTGAAACTCACGGCATGTTCCCAAACTATGTCCCTTCATGTTAGTGCTGGAAATCATCCTTCTCCAACACATTAGGAATCTCTGTTTGATGGGATTCTTTCCTTTTTGCAGCTTCTCCAAACCTCACCATCTACTGCTCAGTCTTATGAATAAGAGAACCATTATAGTACTCCTGCTTCCAGCAGCCACACAACCCCTTCCCAGGGAGCACATGTTCTCCATCCCTGTGGCACACTTGCTTTTAAGGAAAAGTACCTGCTTTGCTCTCCATCCAGAAGGCAGTGATATGCAGCAATGTCCTTCTCCAGCTGTTGTTTGCTGGTCAGCAGATTTTCACGGTCCCGCTGCTGCTGCTCCGTTTCTACTTTGATTTCTCCCATCTCTGCCTCCAGCTTGGAAATGACAGAGCCTAGGTTCTGCAGTTCGATGTCATGCCAGTGCTTGGCATCATATAAAGAGTTCTCCAGACCCCTCTTCTGTAAGGGCAGGACAGCAGAAGATAAATCAGTCAGTTTTCATATGCTTCACAGTGATTTTTATTCAGGTTTGGCCAATATCTCTATTGACTGTGTTTAAGTGGAGATGTAATGTTTTGAGAATTCCTCTCTTTAGATACTTTGATATTAGATATTATCATTATAAAAGCTGAACTACTTTTACAAGGTGCAGATATTCCTCACATTGTCAAGTACTACCCACCCAGCAATCTCAGTGAAATTATTATTCAGTGTGAAGACACTGAGGATTGAAATTTGGAGCCTGGTTGTCAAATGTGGGACGCTCAGTGCACTGTGTCAATCAAGAAGAGCCCAGAAATGTCTGGCATCTCTGGAAGCAGTATCCGCTGGAAAATGGGACTCAGTCTTAACTCTGCATCCCAAGATGGGAATGTTCTCCTCAGAAGGCGTGTTGAAATCTCACAGAATATACCCACTGAAAGCCCAACACTACTTACCAAGGTTCTCAAAGATTCGGTTTCTGCTTGCAAGCTCTGTATTTTGCAGGCGGTTTCATGGAACTCGGTTCTGAGGCCCTCCACCAGCTCTTCCTCCTGGGTTCGCACGGCAGCCGTCGTTTCAGCCGCCTGCCAGTAAAAGACGGTGACTGTCATCACAGCCCACTCAAATTATGTTCTAGCTTCCTTACATACCAAACTGACAGTTAATGCTTTCACAGTTTGTGGCAATTCTGACCTTAAGGTTGATTACTGTATATTAAATCCCTCGGTTAAACAATTCTGGATACTTCCTACTGTCAAAATTATCCTATTTTCTATGCATTTACTGTAAAATGGCTTATGCATTTTACAGCATATATATTTTATCCATGTCAACAACAGCTGTTCAGAATTCATACTAGTACATTTAAAATTACCTATAAAAAGAAAATGTTGCTGTAATTGTTGATTTTGTAGCTATACTATAATATTTTTTTTTTTAAATTAAGTGTTTTCACTTAGTCTGTTGGTTTCCAGAAGGATTCAAACCTCGATTTTTCACATAAGATTCTATGAGTCAGCAAGTCATATCACAGAGGTCAGAAAAATAATTTCTGTTAATTGAATTAAGTCATTATGCAATTTCATACTCTCGTGGCTTTGGGGTTTTATATGCGTTTGGTTCAGGCACCTTGAAAATAGGCAAAGGAAAAAGTACCTTAGTAAAAATAAAATGTCTATACTTTTTAATAAGGGCTGAGATCAAGGCTTTTCAATCCAGCGCTCTGGGCTTTCTAGCAAATACCTACATTTCTTGTGGTTGATGCTAAAATTAAACTATGCAAAATATTTCCATTCCACTCTAAAAATTCATCTTGACCTTGTTCTTCTTTTCTGATTATTCATTCTTTTATTTTAAAAGTAAGATCAAATTTTTAAAAATCTAGGACGATGCACCAGAAATAATTTTTGTAATTCTCTTTGTACCATCATTTGAACCCCACACCTTGGACATCATGAATGAAATAGTCTCAGTTGCAAAAGGTAATTTAAGTACCAGCTAAGTCTCAAACAGAACTTTGGATTTAGGAACCTGTGTTGTGTAGGGCTGAATTTCATTTCAAACACCAAACCTGTCCTTTCCAGCAAATTATAGAGAGTATTTTCTAGAAATACTCTGTAGGGACTTGTGCTTCAGAAAGACATAATTCCACCTCACTAGTGCTAGTGAACCCAGCCGAGTGATCATGGACCTGCCACTCTGGAGTAAATTGTGTCTCCTAAATTGTGTTGAGAGTGTAGTCTGCAAGTTATTATGGTATGAGGACTACAAATGCCTCTTTTTAACAAGATACACGGGGAAGGGAAGGTGCCTTTGCATCTATATTTATAGCCTACACAAATTACCTGAAGCCTGGCGTCTTTCTCACATTACTCTTGCTGGTGGTCCAAATGCTACCTATAAATCCAGCTTGTCTTTACGACAGGTGACACTGGAACACCTCCAGGACTTATCCTAAGCTCTCACAGCTACCTGACATTAGTGGTGTGAATGATAGAACAGGCAGATGGAGTAGATGGAGGTGGCCACATCAGGCTCTAAATACCAAGGATGACACAGCAAGTAAGCACACACTGAATGCACTCTAAAGCTTTTGGGACACACAGGGTTTCCCCACTCTTCTTACAGGATTACCAGCCCCAAGAGTCCATGTGGTGGTGCTGCTGGGCACTTGACCTCAGCTTTGGGGTTCCTTCTGTAGAGAAGTGCAGAAGTAACCTTTGTGCCCTCTCCACTAGGTAATTCGTATTTTCTGGGGACTCTTCCTATTCCTGACATGCTCCATAAGGGAAAGGCTATACCTAATTGTGGTGACCACAAACAACTGGATTAATGGAGGGAGAGGATGAAATCTTCATCCTAAATTTTTATCATGTTGCTGCTTGAGTTTCCTAGGAATCTGTGGATTTCAAGCACATCTGTAAAGTTCTGAGCCAGGCTTTGTGTATGAGCGCAGAATCCCTCATTAGTCTGTTTTTCATGGAGTCAAGATAATGATTAGGATGATTAGGGATAGAAAACCAACATGCAGGGTCTGATCAGCATGATATCTAAAGAAGTAAAGTTACTTTGATAAGCTCTTGAGAGTTCTGGGAACATTTTAGCAAAGTAGCAAAGAAAGGAGAAACAACTGACATAATTCACAAGATTTTTCAAAACCTTTTATGAGATCTAGTGTAAGAGACAACAGAAAAAGCTGTGTAATCATGTGCTCAGGGCAGAACATTTCCAGGGATCAACAGCTGGTCAAGAGACAGCACGTGAAGAGGAGGATTAAGGTCTACTTCCATTAAGACAGAACCTTAACAGCTTGATGCGTCAAGGTTTACTGCCTTGGGAATCAATCATGAAGTAGAAGGATTTATGGATGGCAGAAAACAATACCGATTAGCAATGAGCAATAGTGGACGTGTGGAATCAGACTACATGAAGGAATAGTGTATCGTTAAGTAAAGCATTTTCCAGGGAAAAATATTAAATAGCATGCATGTCTTACAAGGGTTTAAATCACTTGTGTCAATTCAGGGAAAAGTTTTGAGCGTTGTGGACAAAAAAGTGCACAGGTGAAACCAACAGACTGGAGTTTTGAGGTTACTAACTCATCAAGTCCAATGTGAAAACCTGTTCAGTATGAATTTAAATTGATGTGTTTTGGTGCCCGAATACCCTTGAAAAATCTAGCCAAGACTGCAAGTCTAGTCACAAGACAAAGCAAATAAGGCAAGGAAACAAGTCAGAAAATAACAAAAATACTGCCCTCATGTCAGTATTAGGGTATCATTTGAAACACCTTGTGACCTGGTCACAGCTACACCAGGGAGTAGGTGCAGAAGATAGAAATTAAAATATTAGGGACCAAGGAAACCCTCATAGACACATATTGAAAAAAATGGTAATGAAGAGCAAAGAAGTGGAGGGAACTGCTTTCCCTCTTCTGATATTACAAAAGAGTAAGGGCAAATTTTTCAGAGTGTGGATAACCAAATGGTACAACTTAGCCACAAAAGATGACATTAGTCCAGAAACTTAGTTGATAAAAGCTAAACTCTTGTTATCTGTACAAATAGTAACAATCTGAATAGATCTGTATCTGTATGAGATACAAAACTGCATCATCTGGATTTAATGGGAGTTATATTTGGGGTCAAAAGCCCCTACAATGTCATACCAGAACCTGTGCAAAACAAGAACAGATCTTTCCAGAAACCTGTGATATTCCGCTTCTTCCTCTCACTAAAAAAAACAAACAAAACCAGGAACAACTGAAACTAGTAAGAGCTTAGAGTGAGATGGCCAAGTAGGGATGAGTTGGGTACCAAAGACAGGATAGAGAAGTCCACTATGAGCTGGCAATTTTCTCCCCAAATGGTATCTCTGAGCAGCTGAAAGATCAGATATTGAAGGCATGAAAGAAGAAGTTGTAAGGGTGTGTTTGCACAGAAGGAGAAGGAGGCGAAACAAACAGGACAGGGAAGTGAGAACACTGAAGAATTTGGTGCCATCAGAGTGATGCTCATTTTGCTGAAACCTGTCAGTGGGTCAGGAACAGATTTTTCTTCTTTATTTTGAAAATGAACTCAGAGCTCGCATATATCTCTGCAAACATATTTCTTGGTTTTGTTCTTTTTTTTCTTGCTATTTCAATAGCCTCTATGCCTCTCATGGCAGCTCTTTACCTTGGAACAGGGGGGAAATATTCTTGCTAAGTATTTCTATAGCACTGCTGTAGTTATGATTAGCTCTTTCGTGCTCTGCTGTAAGAGCCAACTCAGAATGAGATGGCTTCTATCATATAAGATCATCCACTGAACTTAATGTTTCAGTTCTGCAAAAATACTGACTTCAGCCAAGTACTTTGGAAAATGAGTGACACTTCATGACAGAAAAAGCTGCATTAAAAGGATATTTCAGACTCAGCCTCAGGAGAGAGAACTTTTAAAGGGAATGGCTATTATCATCATCCCTTTTCATTTCTAAGTTAATATCTAGTTTTCCCACTGCTGCCAAAGGAAACAATATCAAGGAGAAACCCATAAGGAGTCTGTAGTGTAGAGCAATGTGTTTTGCCTCTCTTGATTTACAGACACTTGTAAATTATTCAGTGGAGGAACAGTCCTAGTAAGAAGGGTAATGACTGTGACATATCCTACAAAGAAGGTATCAACCGATTAAGTTTTTTTTCTTAGCCAACACTTCAGAGCCCTTAAAAGGCTCCCACAGGCACCTGCAATATGAACAGGGCCACTTCCACCACTGCTTAACTCGGTGAATCCCACAAAAGCCCCTGATGTTTATGAGTGTATTTTCTCATGGACTTGGACCAAAATCTTTTAGATTTCTAATGTCTTTTTTGTAATAAGAAAAAACCCAAACACCCAAACCTCAAAGATACTGCAGAGTATTAGAAAGATTTTGTGTTTGCTTCAAATCCTGTGATGCTGGAGAGGGTTACGGAGTGCTGACCTTGGTACGGAGAAGGGCACCTGTCTCAGCACGATTCTTTTCAATGTCTCTCTCCCAGTGGATTCTGATTTTTTCCAGAATGTCATCCAGGCCACTTCCCATGGGAACATCAAGTTCTTCGAGCTGAGATCCAGCAAGCTGTTTGTATAATACCTTCACATCCTTGAACAAAAATAACAGACATAAAACAAAGTGAACTGGACAATTGAATGGTATCTTCAGAGAAGCTTGAGGAAGAGCTCTTTTGGTGCCGCAAACAGAGAGAGTAATTAAATTTTGTCCCAGAAGGTGTCTCTACATTAATGATTTAGTGCACTGGAGGGCTTCTTTTTCAAATTTTTGCCTTGCTGCCTCTCTATAGTGGTGCATTCCTCTCACCCCCTTGGGCTGCTCTATGATCTCAGGAATTCTCATTAGGCCTCAACTTTGATCAATCAGTGGCTCTTGGGCTGTTAAGCTCCCCTTGAGCTTATCAGAAACACTGTCTGTTCCCTGTTGCCTAACAAACTTCTCTCGCCTAATCAAGGAAAGGGACAACAAATAGTCAGTTATGCTCAGTTAGCCTTGGAATATTATTTGCCTGAATCATAATCCAAGTGGAACAATATTATTGCTACCAGACTTCTGAGGAAAATTCCAATAATTATCATCTTGGATGACGACCAGGATGGAGATTGACAGATGACTAGAGCCAATCATCTTCTCACCCTATAAACAGTGGTTCTGAATGAGGCCCTTTGAGCTCTTCTGGACTGCAGTGGGCTGTGAGCAGCAATCTCCTTCCAAGTGGGGCCTCTCAGAGCTCGGGAGCTCCCACGTTTGCAATACTCAGAGGACCATTGCCATCATGGGGCCCAGGCTGATACCCTTGCTACTCCTCAAGGCTCAACCCTCACCTGCTGAGAGATGCAAAAGCATCCGAATGAGTATTTCACTGAACTTGAGATGAAATTTTTAACAGGTACTTTTTACATATTCTTTGTCTGTGTATGTGTGTATGAATTGATTTAAATATCCTATAGCAAAGTATAGTATACATATTGAATAGGAAATCCTATTGGATCATTTTGTAAATGTTAAATTAGTCAATGATCAGGTGCTGACAAACCCTTGAACTATAAACTGTTGACCAAGTCTGAGGTTAAGTTTGGACTCGGCTGCACCTAGTCTCCATGAGGACTTTAGAAAGCAAGGGAGTCTGCTCTGAACCTCGTGACTCAATGGGAGGGCCTCCCCTAACCCTTTTGAGCCCTTACCCTTTAGCTCTTTTACCCTTTGCATCCCCAGTCTCTATGTAAACCATCCTAGATTGATTCTAATCCGATTTTCCTTTGTGAGCTTCATCTATGTGGGATGAATAGGGTGAACCTTGCCACCAAACTTAAGTTGTGCTTTCACAACTCATTAAACCTGCTTTCGCTAACACCTTTGATGGTGATTCTTTGAAGTGACCTAAACCCCTCCTTTGTGCCACTGTCCCTGCGACTTGCTTCAGTGTTGTGCTGCTCAGGAGAGACTCAGCTTGGGAACTGATCAACTTGCTAAGCCAAGCAGGGTATTTTCAGAAGAACCTAGTTAATGCTCAACATTAGTGCAACAGGACCAGAGCACACGCATTTTCTCCTTACATCGGATCTCGGTGTTGAGATGTCCCCATATGTGACTGTGCAACCCCAAGACCATCATGTGGTGTCTGACATGAAATGAAGTGATGACGTCATTTCCATGTAGTATTTATCAAACGAGAAAGAGTTAAAACTTAAATGTAAGTAATTTGATCATGCCTCAGGGGTTAGTGCTGTAAGTTAACAGGGAGGAAAGAAATAAGAGTAGGTTTCAGGAAAATCCCCCCACCCAGGCATGGCAGGCAGAGTGTTTAATGTTTGCTTTGCACTAGATGTATGATACCAACCAGATGAAACAGGCATACACTGGCTTTGCAGTGTCCCAAGTCTGGACTTACTTCTTCATGAGTCTTTGACAGCAAAGTTAGTTCTTCCTTCATGCTCTCTATCTGACTCTCCAGGTCCATTTTAGTTAAATTGGCATCATCAATCACTTTATATAGGGAATTAATTTCATCTTCCACTGCCTTTCTGAATGGCTGCTCATTTTCATACCTGCAGAGAAAAAAAAGCCAAACCTTAACAAAGCACAGCTCAGCAAAAAAAACCTGCCTTTTTTTCTTTTTGAATGACACCGTTTGTGCTAATTAGCTCGTGTGTCCCAGACAGAGGCACAGAAACACAGACAATATACTTTCCTCTCACCTTGTCTCTCTATACTTTAATTTAACTGCCTGAAGTACCCTGTCATTAAATCAGAGTGTAAGAAAACAGGCCAAGTTAGCAGTCTGCACTACGGTGGTTATCAGCCTGGTCGGGTTCCAGAATAAGCACAGAGAGGCACGTGGTCTCTTGCTATATCTGGTATTTACATACAGTATGACTGTGGGTGGCTTTTTCTCAGTTTGCTTGACTGTAAAATGAGAATAACTACTCATTTGTCTACATAAAAATTTTTCAGAGAAATGCTTAAAGAAAACACACGCACATCAAGCATTACTTTTACTAATGGACACGGTGATGGAAGTCTGGTCTTTGTTCCAGGGTCCTGGTCCATCCTTCAGACCAAATCCCAGTAGTATCAAAATAAACAGGAAATTTCAGTGATTGGTTTGTCAACTAGAATTGCTGTTAGAACAAATGGCTCATTTCCAAACCATGGTTGTAATGGAAGCGAAATTTTGGCAGGCAGTTGCTATTCCACAGCATGGCTTCCTGTGTTGGTCTTGTTTGTAACCTTTTGGTTTAGCTTTCCATTAAAAATACGCATTGCATTGTGAATCTCCTTGGGTGTGAACCTTTTGTGCCAAACCCATCCAACCTGGGGATCTGGTGGCCAGGAAGGTTAGACAGGAGGGCTGGCAGCTGATGGGAAACAGCTTCATAAACATTTTGCCCCTTGAGAGCTACCTTCATTGCTGGGAGTTCAACAGCTCGGGAAAGTGGCACTGATCCCAGTGAGAATCAGGAGCTTTTACTTATGCAGTGGATTGATTTGACATTGGTTTTTTTATGTAGACTGCTTGCCCAAGTCAGCTGACATTTTTAAAAAGCATTTGCTGGACATAAAGTCATAAAGTGAGTATCTCAGAGTTGCACCTTTCTGAAATAAAAGGCAAACCTAAGAATGATAAACACATTTTTAATATGATTAAATAAAACAATACCACAGAGAGAAACAGAAGTTTAAGGGATGATCAAAATCATAGGAAATAAAAATCAAATCATTTGAAATACAATTTTTGTGTCAGATCTTGCAATAAGCTGTATGTAAATGAACGAGTCCATTATGAGTAAAAGCTAGAAGGATCTTGTCTCCCGAGTAAAATGAAAGGAGTTTCATGCACTCATGTACATGAATATTAGGCCTTTCAAACAGAAAGACATTAAAAAAGTAGTTTGTCAGTATTTCAAATCTTCTTTTACTACTTATTTTTCTCACTAAAAACAAGGAAAGTCAGTGCAGCCTGTTTCTGTTTTCTTATCTAACATTTCCACACTGATGTTTGTGGTAGTTCAGCTTTTGCTTTTCAGCTGCTGTAGCAGAATGATTGTTGCTTCCAAAACCACTTGTGTGCTCCTGAAAATTACAACTAAGCACATGGAAGTCTGCCTTTATAAAATGTCAACCCAATATTAAATGAATACTGACTTCTCAGTGAGAGACCAATACCTGCGTATCAAAGAACAGCTTAAGTAATATTGTTTGTGCACATTTTTGTTACTATGAACCTTCAAAATCTTCAAAAATAAAGCTAGCATTACAATAATTTTGCTGTTGCAAAACCCCTCCCAAATCATGGGGTTGAATATACAACTTAAAAAACAAACCCATTCTACAAACTAAGCATTACTCCCGTAAGAAGTAAGCATTTGCCAAGGCAAAGTTTCAAAGAAAGTGGCCAGCTAGGTGCCACCACAGGACTACCTGTCTTTAAAATCTTCAGCACAGGCTTGAATATTCTCGGTGTGCAGCATAAGACGGGCATTTTCAAGGACTGCTTCACCCACCTAGAAGAAAGAGACAACAGAGCTCAAGCAATGAAGAGCTTCAGCACATGCACTACGTGCATTGTTCATGTATCTTAAGCAGATGTACAGCTTTGATTCTGAAAATAATCCTTTATCCTAGGGCTGTTCAAGTGGCTCATTCCAGATAATTTAGTCAATTAGTTTTGTACATATAAATTCTTTGCAATAGGCTGTAATTTGTCATCAAACTGTTCATTCCTCCTAAGCATCTTCTTGTAGAAACACATTTATTCTGATCATCACCAGTTTGCAAGGGGCAAAATTCATTGCTGTGCGCAAGGTAGGTTCATCATTTAAGTCCCATTTATACTTTCTAGATACAGATTAAGTAGACTTATGCAGTTCCTATTCTACTTCCCATATCAGCAGTCCTCTTCAGGGTCGTCCTCTTCAGTGAGCCACGGAATACTTGTTGCTCATGCCGCCTGCGAGCCCTCCTCAGCTCCCAGAGCGTCGTTTTTCTTCTCTGATGGGATCCTGTAGGCTCTTGCGATAGATATGAGACCTGAGAAGCAGGCAGTCTTCAAAGATTATTACACTGATTGAAAAGATTGGTCAAATAAGATTGTGGTATCATTGCTACGGCTCTGGGGTGTATCTCTAATGTCCAAGAGGCACTGAAGGGGTAAGCAAACCTGAAAGACTTGTGACTTAGCAGCTTGTTGGGATTCAAGAAGGCTACATAAAATGATAAAAAAGTAAAAAGGACCACTGCCTGCCCTGGAGTCACACGTGCACTGAGCTATGGAGGTGACCAAAGACATGCTGAATTCAGTACTGAACGTTTCTTTGGCCTTTTTCAGGAGACACCCATGAAAATTTGCAGTTGAAACTAAATCATCCCAAGAACAAGCGCAGATTTTTAAGCTGGCAAGGAGAGTTCTTGAAGCAGAAAAATCTTTCTTCAAATAACTAAGTCTGCAACTAAATAAGATTGTGAACCACCCAAAGCATTCTGCTCCTCCAAGGTGAAACAGACCATGCAATGGGGAAACCTCAATGCTGCATCCAGACAAGTTATCTGAAGTACCACTAGTGGGATTGTTGCCTTAGTATGTTCCTACCTGCTCTTTGTCTGGCTGTTGGTGATGGGGTAGAGGTGGGCATGCAAGGCTGAAGCATTTCTAGGTGGTAGTTAACATTTACCATTATGAAGAGTGGCTTACTGCTCCAAATGTCTTACAGATGTTTGGACAAACAAATATGAAATACATGAAGGCACCTGATAAGGAGACATGTGGAGGAATATAACCTGTTCCTTCAACTATCCAGCCAGCCCTGCTGTGCAGCCCATGAGTACAGAAGACTTTTATATGCTCACTTGCACGTGGAACTGTCACTTCTTCGTTGTTCAATCCCTTATTTCCTTCTCCCTGACTTTGTGCAACCCCACATTACCAGCACTAGCCTAACTCCCCAAACCCTGGGTTGTCTACCTGTGGCATTTCAGAGCAGCTGAGCAGGGCTGAGACTCTGGGGACATACTACTCTGCTGTCCTCAGGTTCCCTTGTACCAGGACACCTGAGTTTCTCCTGAAAGATGGAGAAACAACATTTAGTATTTAGTTTTTACATGGCAGCAGCACAGAGGTAGAGGCACTTCTTTGATACAAGCTCTAAAATTTTGGTTATTTTTCTTCTTTTTTTTTTCCTTTTCTTTTTTCCTACAGAAGTAATTTTGTCTTCCTGCCAACTCATACATATGTGGATCTTCACAGAAGCTTTCATTTTTCTTCCTGACTCAAATCAAGGAGCAGAAATGCTGCCTTGTGATTTGCCTTACGCTGTTGAAACAAACCCATTTGCCTCCGGCAGGGATCCCATGCGGTTTCAACATCTGACCTAAAGTCTGATGAAAATGAATGTCTTTGAGGGAATTGGGAACATCCTGTGAGCAAAAGTAATATTAAATCCTGTGAGCTGCAAAGTGCCACTCAGAGGCACGTTAATGGCTAAGTTTAGAGTCTGAATCCAGTGTAAAATATCTCTGGGACTGCAACGAAAGCAGAAGCAGGGGATAGCTGGTGAATTGCTGCTGCCTGGATTTCTGCCTCTATATGGAGACAGACTGGTTTTTAAAAGTGCTTTCCAGTAGTGATTTGGTGGGTTTATGGAGGCATTTGAGGTGATTTCTTACCTGCCCCACAGTGGATGTCTTTACCAGAACCCTGGTACCATATTCTTGATGCATATTTTGATGATGGTCGATACCCTGATTCTCCTCTTCATAGACCAGTAGCTCATGCCAAATACTTAGTGAGAAAGTCCAGGGATTTCCAAAACTGCACAAGACCCTGAATTCTACCATGTAAGTAGAAACGGTATTAAAAAACCCCCAAACTAATGCTTGGAAGTCTTCAGGAATTAGTGTTGCAGTGGGAGCCAGCAGGCATCAGCCTTTCAGCCATCCTGGAAATCACCTGTACCCTTTAAATCCGACAGTGAAGTTGAAGGATAAATAATGACACAGTAGTTTCTATGTAGAAACCAGGTTTCCTGAAAAATTCTCCCTGATTTGCATGAGCTGTGAAAGCCCTTTCCTAGGCTCCAGAAGAAGAGATGTAAGACTTCCATCTAGTGGCTCTTTTGTTTGATTAAATTGTCATAATAATCAACAGCTGGATGCAAGTATGCAGCATTAGTGAGACAGATTTATAGCCACTTTGTTGACACATGTACTAAAATATATGAAGCAGTAGTTTAGGAAACACCCTTCTTTGTGTCCATTAGAAATGAGAGGGCTTGCAATGCTGCAAACACTCAGATGTTGCCTCCTCTGCTTGTAAAGCAGAAGGCAATGCTGTCCTGTCTCACAGGGCTTCTGGGAGTCACTGTGATGCTCATGTGGCATTTATAGAGCCAAAATGGGAAGTGTTAAAAAATGCAAATATTATTACTAATAATAACTCCTTTTAGTCACATGTTGTCTTTCAACACTCAGATCTGTGATGCACATACACCTTGTGATCACAATTTTTTTCAGCTCTGGAATTAACAGTGAATATTTGTGCTGTTAAACATCTTAACAACAAAGGAGCAACAATTTCCTTTGATTTCACTGTGATTTTATGGACATGAAAATGCAATGTTAATTTTTAGGAAAAAATTTCATGAAAATCTGCATCAACATACAGGCCCCATTTGCTGGGTTACAATCGGCATCAAGGAAAACCAGCTCCTTCAAGGAAGTGTGCAGACTCCGGATGTGATACAGATATGTGATGTGATGCAGACACAGGGGAGAATTTATTCCTTATCCCTGCTGACTGGCAACTTTTGATTTTTAACAGAGATCTGGCCAAATTTGGCATTGCAAGATTTACTACACCTTTCAAATTCTTAGCTGTGCTTTATCTACAGTTTTGCTATTCTTAAAAATGCCTAAATCCTTTTTGACTGCTGCTAAATTCATGGCCTCAGGTGTGGCCTGTGATAATGAATCTCATGGCTTAATTATTCATGTAATGGAAACTTCTCTGGCTTTTAACTTCACTCCAGTTAAAGCAAATGATGCCTCCACGGAGAAAGATCAGAAGATGCCACTCTAGTCTTTCCTTCCACACACACAAGGAAATAGTTGATATCAGACCATTGCCTTCAACACATTTTAATTCACGGCTAAAATCAGGCTAAAAGCATGCAGCTCACTGCCAAGTAGTAAACTCATAATGCTTTTGGTCATGCTTTCCATGTCAAACCCTTTCTCAGAGCCTGAAGGAAGAAACAAACCTCAAAGGCAGCAAGAGCAGCATTTCTTGCATTGCCCTGGGAAAGGTAATACCAGGAGAGAGCCTGAAAGACTGTTGGGTCCTTTGCTGACTCCTGCTGCATCTGGGGAAACTTGACTTCATTTATACATTGGATATTTTGTAAGTACACAGGACTCCATCAAAGAATGTCTGGTTCTCAAGGCAGGAGATACCTCCTAAAGAAATGATCTGTAAAACTGTAACGTTGTCCGAGCATGAGGAGAAAATCTCACACCCCCTTTGCAGCTGCATGAGAAGGCAGCCCAAGTTTCCGCTGTTGGAGGTTGCTGAGAGAACATAATTAAAACTAATTTCTTGCCATGCTCTGTACAGCAGCTGATCAAGCTTTGTGCCATTTTGTGGGAGTTTGTTGTACCCTTAGATGAGTAGCAGAGTGCTATTTCACCCATTTACAGACACTGATCACGCACTGTGTTGTGTTCGGGCGTGTTACAAGTAACACTCAGCGGCTCTCCTGGCCCCACAGGAAATAAATTATTGGGTCCAAGTCCAAATGTGGCAATTCCTCAGGCTGTTAGACCTGCACATTCTCCAGGCTTAATATTAACACCAAGTAAACGCTTATAGTAAGGCCAAGTGCAAATAAAAGTAGCTCTATGGAAAAGCTCTGGAAGTCTTTCAAATGCTCTCAGCCATGCACAGGATGTCATGATCAGTCACAGCAGTGATAAAATTGGTCCAGAACATTGATTCCTTCTGCCTTTGTGTTTACTCCTGTGATCTGAACTGTGCTACGTGCCATCTCATAGACAAAATAAATCTCTGTGTCTCCCATACAGATGTAATTGAACGGTCACGGAAGCTGAGCTACTCTCTTCGCTTTGTAAACACCCTGGGATTGTTTCAAACATCCACTTTTCCCAGGTGCTGCCCTGTTCCATGGAAAGAAACTGCCATTGCAAAGAACCTCCTATTCTGCAGAAGAGACACATTTGAGTAGAGTTAATATTTTCCACAAGAAGACCAGGATGAAGCCTGGAGGAGAAGAGTATGCACTGGGTAAAATCTGTGTTTCTGTCATGGATTTGTATTTCTGTCATGAAATTTTATTTCTGTCACATGAATTCCTCTTGGCAAGGATTTCTCATTTCCCTCTTTTTTTCTGCAAAAATCCTCCCAATTAGTGTGTGTCCACCTGCTCCGCTAAAAGCCAGCTGCCCAGGCAGATAATTAATGCTGTGAGCTGGATAGTGGCTTCCCATCATTCAACTCCCACTAGTGATCCCCTGCTGCAGCCATAGCTCTGACAATTGCAAGGAAACACAAATGTTTTTCCCCTGAGGACACATGCCGTCTGAGACACTCATTGACACATTTTTTTTCCTTTAGCTCTGTGTTTGGGAGATATGCTGGCATGCAGTTGTTATTGCTGGGAAGACAACTACCCAAAATTTGGGATGCTGGAGCACATCTCAGAAAGGTTGGGAGGGAAATGGGACCTTGGGTCCACTGAGACCTCTTCTGCACTACTGTAGAGATGAGCCTGTCACATTTCTGATTTTGGAGCCAGGAGAGTCCTATGTGGCCGTATCCTTGTCTTCTCTCTAGCACGGCAAGAGGAAGGGGCTCCTGTCTAGATTCCCCCCCCCCCCCCAGTTGCATATTTTTCTTTGCTGCTTCTTTTTCAAAAACCGTTCCTATTATGAGTGCTTGGGTTAAACCAGGTGGCTGGTAAAGTGGCTTTCCACCCCAAAACTTTCACAGCTGCTTCATGTGAATGGCACTAAAGGGTTTTTATGGCTGCCAGGCATCCCTCCAGCTGAATGCATGGGGCTGGCCAGGAATCAAAGCAAAAGCTCAGATTTTACAGGAAGCTGAGAATAGGACATGTCACTCTTAAAGAAATTAAGATGGATGTGGACATCTACAGAAAATCTAAATATATTTACAAAAATTACATCCAGAAATGTATCTGCCAAGTATCTCATTTCTGCTACGCGTTGCTCCTGAACACCTTTTGCTTTTTTAACTGGGACGTGTCATGGCAGGAGGGTTCTGACTTGGTTTCAGCTGTTTCTGCAGCAGCTGATTTTCACATTATTTTAATAAATGTGACAGTTTTGATGTTGATGCTGTCATAATTTTTCCAATTAGCCCCAGGATGAATGAGTTAATTGGTGTTCGGGCTGGATGAGGTCCTACTTTGAGATTTGGTTAGATGCTTAGAAAAAAAAGTGAAGGAATCTATTAATCAGTATTGTACATAAGAGCTTGGATCTTATTTGGGAAAGACAAAAGCCACTAAGTGATGTCTCTGAAGTAATTGGGAAAACTTTACGTGTTCTCTAACGTGTTTTGATGGTTAAATAGATATGGATTATGCTGATCTTTTTCTCTTATTTTCTATGTTACTCACAAATAAGCTATTGCTATATAGCTTTGTTTTTCTGATTTTTCTATAGAAAGAGCCCAATATTCAAGCCATATTTCATCATGAGATGCTCTTACTTACTCGTAAAAAAGAAAGGTAGAGGCGAGGTGCAAGGATGACTATAAAAAAAGGTTGTAAGGAAGGCAATTTGGATGAAAAATTATTACACGAGCAGGTTTATCTTCACTGCAATGTTGGGGTTTTATATAAAGAAAAATCAAATAGTCCTTCCTCAGGTACTGACCATCCTACATTTTTGGTCTTAACCGTAAGCCCTGGTAGGTTTTACTGGTGAGGTCTACAGCTGCAAAATGGGACACTTGTCTGGAAAACATGGGATGGTGGCTGCAAAGCATTAACTCCCTGTTCCTCATCAAAGTTCCCATCTGCCTCACTGAAATAATAGTCTTGAGGGGATGGCTTTTTGTAAGCGCCCCAGATTCAGAGCACCTCAGCAGCTAGTCTTTTCAGCAAGCAACTGTGTGTTTTACCCATACAAAAAGGTAGCAACTTTAAAAGTTAGTGCTTAACTGGGTGTTTCTGACACGATCTTATGCCCCCACGTTCAAATGACATTTGTAGCGTCCTGCAGGAAGACTTGCCCTAATAATGCAGAGTAAAACTGGACAGACCCAAGGTAAAACACACAATTTCCTTGGGGAACTTAAAGTTGGCTTTCAGGCTTTCTGAAGACCCACTGATTGCATTTGCTGCGCCTGCACAAGTGATGCTGGGAAGATGTGTGCAAGATGCCGGACTCCAGTTCTTCAGAGTCCCATCTGCTCCCATCGGCTGGGACTTGAGGAGCCAGCACTTGAATGGTGCACCGAGAGAGACCTCAGCGGACAGAGTTCTGTGTTCACTGCAAGCAGGACATCGGTCTGCAAAGTCTTACTGGTTTTACTGGTCAGCAAAAGGAACCATTTCTTGTCCACGAGGTCAACAGAGAGACCACTTTGCACAATAAACATTTGTGCCATATGGAGAAGGTGGGAGTAAGGGATGGTGGGGTGATGACAAAGGGAAGGAAAGGAGTCACTCATCTGTAGCCATGTAATTATTATTTTTAAATAAACAGGGCTTTTGAAAATATGATTAAGCAAACAAGGCAATAAAGTAAAAAATCTGAATTGCTAATAAAAAAAAAAAAGTGCTTGTAATGATATCATGTTGAGGGATAACCTAATTCAGTCCTGGCAGTTTTCTTTTAATAATTTTGATACTCAGTATAATAACCACACATTAAAAAAAAATAAGGAAAAACCCCCCACCCATTCCAATCAGCCCAGACTATGGCGCCTTGGGGTGCATTTCAATCGCTCCCATGTGCAGGATGCCTGAGGCAATTCTCCTGCTTAATAGGCATTTTCCACAACACACTGTGAAATGATAATGCTAATTATCATGAAGATAGATTTAAAACCCTCTGTCTATGGCACCGCGCCTTGAAATCAGGCGACATTCATCAGCAGCATCAACCCTCGCCGCTCAGGGTTGTTCATGACTCCCCGCGTCCCCCCCGGCTGCCAACAGCGCTCCGGCACTCACCTGATGGTAAATCGCCTCCCAGTTCTCCCGCAGCGCTCCCCAGGTGCCCACGGTCGCCGCCTTCTTGTCCAGGTAGACTCTGATGTGCTCCTCCAGCTCCTGGTTGACCTGCTCGAGAGCTCGCACCTTCTCGATGTACTCCACCAAGCAACCATTCAGGCTTTCGTAGGTGAGACCCCTACCCTTATCCAAGCCCGGGGCCAGGGGCACGGCTGAGGCGGAGCTGCGTAGACCCTGGAGGAAGACGCTACTGATGCCCAGGGCTCTACGGGACACTCGGGTGCCCAGGCTGCTCACGCCGCCGGTGGGAACGGTGCCCACGTAGACGCCGGGGGGTCTCGACAGGCTCACTCCACCTCCGACGCTCACCCGGCGGCCGGGCGGCCCCGCGCTCTCGGCCGTGGAGGAAGGGGGCTGCTGCCCCAGGAAGGACGACCGGCGCCTCGGCAAGGGCATGTTGTCGCTCCAGCCTGCCGAGCACCGCCGCTCAGCCCGGCCGCCTCGCCCCGCACTGGCGGGAGGGATGTGCCGAGCCCAGCAGGTTGGGGCTCGCGCGGGATTTCGGCTTTGTGCGACGGCTTTCTGGAAGGGGGGCTTTGTGCTGCCTGGGAGCAGCCGTCACATTGTCCGGGCGGCTGCTGGGTCAGCAATCCCATTTCAGGGGAAATCTCCCTGCTGCTGCTGCTGCAAATGTGGCAGATGAAAAGCACAATAGTGTTTACGGGGACAGCGGGACAGGGATTCGGTACAACGTACGTGTTAAAATACCAGCAGTGTTTTCTACGCTGACACCCAGATGATTTCCTACCCTTATAACCACAGGTATCAAGATATATATTACAAATGTATTTGCTGCCCACACCAGTGCTTTCTCCAGACAGAGTCTACCACAGCAAGACATTACCTAAACTTAGCAAACCCCAAAGCTCTGAGGAGCCAATAGGGCCACAATGGAGCAGAGCCAAGCCAGCTTTTTGCTGCTGCAGAGTAAGGAATGCTTCCTCGGCCCTGCTGCAGCTTCTGGACTTCTCTGCAGTTTGTCTTTACCAAAGAACAGAGGCTCTCTGAGACAATCCAGCAGATTTTAATTAGGGAGAAGCACCCTCACATCTACCCTTGCTCAGTGAGTTTAACCTCACATAATCAATTGCACTTTGTCACCACATGCGGTCAAAGAAGTGAAACTGGACCTTGTTGAACGGACAAAGTGAGGCAACTGTGAAACGAAAGAAAAGGACAGAACAATCCTAGAGACTTACTGCAGGAGAGATTTCCCCTGCTCTTCTTTTTACGTCACTGTTCTTTAGCGACTATGATCAAGTGGATAGTTTATAGGTATATATGTTCATGGTACAGTGGGATCCTTGACAATACAATGTTACGTCTAGCTTTTTCTACCTACACACAGGGATGCTTCACAGCCAGGATGCCATTCCAGTGTAGGATTACCATGTGCGCATCTTTGTGGGAATGATTGTAATGTGCTGATGTTGGGCATTGCCCTAATGCAGAGTAGGTTTTTACAGGGGCAGCGGTGAATCTTTGGCGAGACGGGATACAATCAGAAATTCCTGTCTTCCACTGGTGCCTAATCCTGGCTCGCTGGGTTGGTGGCTGAGTTTGTTTCACTTGTTTGAGAATGGCAAGACTGTCTACAGTCAGGTCACCATTTCCAGGTTGTGTGAAGACTGGGAATAGCACAGCATCTCTCAGCTTTGCACATACTTTTGGCTAGTTTAGGTATTCTTCCTTTCGATTACCAAGCAAACTTCACTGGCTAAATGAGAAGAGTCCTCCAGTATTTCTTCCACATTATTTTCAGTTTATGTGCTCTGTATCAAATTAGAAAATCTGCCTTGTAAAAGTAATACCATGTACAGAAAACAAATGTAAGAATACGGACTTTTTTTCCCAAATTTGAATTTAGGTCTCTGTAAACTTGTTCTCTGTTTCTACCTACCTCTTGAAAAAGAAATTAAGATCCTTGTGGGATTGTTTTTGCTCTTGAAAAGACAGTCAGGAAGCTTCTGCTGTCCTATCAACTAGTGAGTTCTAGGAGGCCATTTACTAATTGATCATGAGGATCACAGACATCATATTGCATAGTGTTTATCCCATGGTGAAAAGATATATTCCCAAAGTGCCTATCCATGTCTGTACACAGCCATGTCTTCCTGCCTACCCCAGTCACCTCATAGGGAAGCACTATGTAACTCTCTGATGCTGAGCAGAAAATCGAATATCCAGGAGAGCCCCTATAACACTACAGTTTTCTGATTTTAGGAAGCCTATAGTCCACATTCAGGTTTGTGCTTCAGCACAGCTGAAGTGCATATGTGGAACAGGGAGAAAGGGGGGGACAAGTATGCCTCTATGGCCCCCTGACCCATGTCTTGGTCTGATTCCAACCATCATTTAGTAAAGTTGTCATGTTGCTCTGACTAACAGCAGCCACTGAGACACTCTCTGCAGGTGGGAACAGCTGGACCAGATGTGCCACTGCTAGAATTCCCTTTTCTGGTATCAGCTGTGGCTCACCTGGAACAAGGCATATGGTTAATGATGCTACACTAACCCTGCCCTGCTCGAACTTCCCTTTCATGCAACCAAGCGATAAACCTGAGCAGCAGGGGGTAAACTCCCAGTTGCCTCACAGCCTGATCCTGATGAAGTAAGGAGTGAAGGTAGGAAATAATCTACCAGCACGGATGGCCAGAGGTGGAGAGGAGGAGGATGAGACTTCAGAGGATGGGGATCATTTCACTTGCTGAATGATATCAAAAAGCAATTTGAGAGGCAAAACTGAAAATTGGTCCCACGGTAACAGTTCTGGGTTACTCAAAGAGAGAGCATCGATTTGGGCAAGGTCATTCCATGTTCCATATTAGCCTCACCTTGTAATAACCTATTTTTAATCCATCATTTAAGCTTCATTCACCCTTACTATTCCTCCAACACTACTAGAACCTGCAATCTAGCACTTAACTGGGTAGGACAGAAATGCCATTTTGCTCTGAAACACCGTGTCTTTCCTTCTTAAGGGGGGAAGGAATGTCTCAGAGAGAAGAAGGTACGAGGAAACTCGATTCAGTGGCACAAACAGTCTGAGCAGACAAGGTAAATAAAACAGTGGGGAAGTGGAAATGTGGTCAAAGCCATAGAATTCAATTGGTGGGAGTCCCTAGTCACAAGATTTCAAGATTTCTGATAAATTTGAAGGAATTTTCTGTTCCTTTGAAGGGAACACTCTATATACCTTCTTTTGAGGCTGCTTGATCTGCAGGAAATAATTCCAGACTTATTGGGCTGAAGTGGAGCAACTATGAGTCCAACATGTAGTGTGACTAAAATATTTATGCAGGAAAAAAGGGTCATTCTTGTCCGTGCTCTTGTAAAAGAGTTTTGGAGCTCAAGCTGGAAGGGGAACAATGAAGGGCTCATTGCAGTCAGTGCTCGGGGAGTACTGGAGGCATGCAAAGGATAGAAGACTGGCACACGAGCCATATGGACTGCTTCTGGCAACTGCGCCGGTCCTGTCTGGTTTGTATTCTAACTTGGCAGCATAAAGAAAATGAGTGATTGAAGTCCTTTTACAGTAGGAGGAGGGACACTCACTGAGCAGGAATGCTTATGCTCAGGCTCAACAATGTCATGTAGGATGCAGGATGCTGTACCCAACACATGCTGCCTGCACCAAAAGCAGCCTTACGCAGTATTTTTCCAGACCAAGTATATTTAGCAGCAGTTTGTAAATGACAGTGAAGCAAACAGTCCATTGGACAGGTGTTTTGCTTAGAAATACCTTTATTTTATAAAGCCACAGTTTGTTCTGTAAAGTTTTACCACACTTATAAAAAAGGGTCTGACAATTCTGAGGAAGAAAAGAAAAGCTGAAAACATTTCTTGTAATTCAGGGTTACACAAAGGTTATATTTATAATATATATATTTATTTATAATTTGGAGACAGTAGAGATGAAACTGCAATATGCGGGAAGCTGTGGGGTCATATTTCAGAGACTTGTTCATGTCCCACAAATAGAGTTTCTTGACAGAAAGGGTTCACGAGGACCATCCCGCTGTCGCGGTAGTCACCGTTGGCAGGGGAGCGTGGCTCAGAGAGGTGATCCTGGCGGAAAAAGAGAAGCAGATTGAGTACTTCACACCCCTGGCCCTCCACTAGCACACAGGGCAATCCTCCCCATCCCTCAAAGGCGCTTGAATTTTGTGGGCTCTGACTCTGAAGACCTAAGTTTGGTGAGCTGGTTTTACCCTTCTTCAGGCAGGAGGAGCTGTTAGTGAAGAGCTCCTCTGATAGTCAGGCTGATTCTGCCTCAGTCTGGGGACCCAGAAGTCAGATGCACCAAACTTCCAGTCCCTTAGCAGACCTTGAGCTTTCACATTTCTTGGGTTTTCACTTTTGTGACTCATTGAAAGTTTCCTGCCTCTCAGCTACGCTTGACTCCTCAAAGATGCTTTTTCAGCTTCTTTTTAAGCTCAGAAAGCCACATATACAGTTCCAAGCCACCCAAGCATGCCCCAGTTCAGTCGTGTTCTGATCAGGTTTAAATAACTCAGATGACAGCTATTGGAGACCATCCTGTATGTGAATAGGCCTATCATTTGATTCTGGTTAAGTACAGATCAGGTCCTGCCTTAGCCTAAGCAACATGATTGCCAACAAATGAGGGTTAATGAAGTGACTGTGAGCATTTGTCTAATCACCTCTCAGAGGTTCCTATCTAAACCTTTTTTTTTTTTTTTAAATTTAATCAGATGGGTTAGTCAGCTAGATGATCTGAAAATCACTCTAGCATAAACCGGAACTCTCCACTGTTTTAAATACCTTTGAACTAAACTGAATTATCCTTCTCTATCCCTAAGGCCAGGGAATACATTTCTATCAGTTGCATTATCTGTCCATATGTGAATAATCCCACTGAACCAGTCAGATCTCTTTGGTAAAGGCTAATGAGCATATACCACCACTACACACTCCCACATACTGATGCTCTGATTGCTTATATACTGGGAACACTCACTCCTTGAGCTGGTATTTGAGAAGTTATAGGCAGCTCCTGAGATATAAATACATTAAATTTGTGTTATTAACTCCCACCAGCCCCCTTTCTCTGATGCCGTGTGGGACGTGCACAATAGATTGACTGTCAGTCACCACACAGCCCAAAGGGCCTTCCTTAAGCAGTCATGGTATGGCTAGACATTGGCCATGGGCTCACAAGGAAGAGAAACCCAGGAACAAATTCACCTAGAGGTGGTTAACACTCATCACTACACAGCAATATGGAACATATCCGCAGTGGCTGGGAATAGGATGGTAATCCAATTTTGCTGACATATTTGTCCCATCTTATACATGTGTAGGAGTGAGTCCTTCTCAAAAAGCTGTTCCCCAAATATGCACAGGGATTTCAAGGCTTTATTAATATGACTTCCTCTCCCCTCCTCCCAGCGTGGCTTCAGTTACAGTTTTTAGACACCAGTTCTGCAAGCAAGGTACCTCTGAAGTCTCCAGTGACTGGATCTCTCTCGGTAA